TAGCCAAGGCTGGCCTTGAACTTGTGACAACCCTGCCTCTTAAGTGCTGGGATTACAATAGTACATGATTTCTTCATTCTGTTTAACACCACCAGATTTTCCAGGGGAGAAACTAGAGAGATGGCTCCAGGGTTAAGGGTACTTGCTGCTCTTGCAGAGGAATGAAATTCAGGCCCCAGATCCCATGGGCAGCTCACAGCAGCCTATAACTCTAGCTTAGGGAATCAGATATCTTCTGTTGTACAAAGTACCGAGAGAGAGAGAGAGAGAGAGAGAGAGAGAGAGAGAGAGAGAGAGAGAGAGAGAGAGAGAGAGAGAGAGACAGAGAGACAGAGAGACACAGAGAGAGAGACAGAGAGAGACAGAGACAGAGAGAGACAGAGAGACAGAGAGAGACAGAGAGAGAGACAGAGAGAGAGACAGAGAGAGACAGAGACAGAGAGAGACAGAGAGACAGAGAGAGACAGAGAGAGACAGAGAGAAGAGATAAATACATCTTCAAAAACTTTCCAATGGGTCTATGGCTGCAGATCAACTATCGTATTTAATTAGTCATGTCTAGTCCATTGGGCTACATAGGAGACTCTCTTCCCCCTGGTTACAGGGATTAGAATGTCAACTCTGTCACTACAAGTCCATATTTGTTTCTATAACATATTTTTCTCATCTTTAAGGTGGGAGTGATGGTTCCTTCTGTTCCGGTGAATCATATATGTCACATGGGGAATGTTTGTGCCTGATACAGTGCAAGGGCTACACTAAAATTCTCTCCCTGGAGCTTCATGGCCTGCATTTTTATCAGATTGTTTGTCACAAGAATGCCTCAAGTCTCAACAGATTCCACTGAGCCTGTCTCTCAGCATTTCTTTTGCTGTGATAAACACCATGACCAAAAGCAACTTTGGGAGGAGAGGGGTTATTTCATGTTACAATTCTAGGGTCACACTTCAGCAGACAAGGAAGTCATGGCAGGAACTGAAGCGCAGGCCATGAAGGGATGCTGCTTACTGGCTTGCTCCCTATGGCTTGCTCAGCCTGCTTTCTTACGATACCCAGGCCCAGAGGTACAACACCCACAGTGAAGTGGACCCCCTACACCAATCATTAATCAAGAAAATGTCCCCCCGGACTTACCTACAGGGAATCTGCTGGCAGCGTTTTCTCTTCCCAGATAACTCTAGCTTATGTCAGGTTGACAAAACAAGCAACCATACAGGGCCCTATGAGAATCTATGAGCCTCTGAGACAGGTATCCCAGACAGGTCCTCGAGGTCAAACAGAGACACGCTGGCCAGACACTGTACTTTATCTTGGCTATTAAAAGCAAGCTCTAGTTAGTTAATGGGGGAGGGAGATCAGAGATCAGTGGAAGGCTGGTTCCCTCTAATGCCACCCCTGCCCCCAGACTGTAAGACAATAGGTTGGACCCCAGAGGAATGAGTGAGAGAGCTGCTGCCAATTCTGTATGGCTGCTTATTGCTGGAGCACGAGGAGGCAGGAAAGGGTGAGGTGCTGATGGTGGGATCTTGTTTTCTGACCTGCCCCATCTCAGATAGGATGCTGTAAGTTCCCATTTACCCCTCAAGTGAGTGGTTTATCTATGACCTTGGGGGTTTCTCAGTTCTGAAAAAGCAGACACTTCCTTTTCTCTACATTTTATTTTATTTTTTGAACTACATTTGTACTTCCCTTGAGTTCCTTCAGAGCCATGCAGAGTACAACTTTCCATTGACTCAAGATAAGGCTGCCTGCCACCACCTCATCCCATGCATTTTACATTTTGACTTTATGGTCTCCTATTTAGGGCCTGGAAAGAGTGTGTGTGTGGGGGGGGTGTCCTAAGAACTAGAATGCCAGTGGAAATACCAACTAACTATTTGCCTGCCTGGGTTTTGATTGATGGTAATGACGCTTTAGAATGAAGCACTCTGGGAATGAGCAGGAAAAAAGTCCTTGACACTTTCTCCGAGGAGCTGACTTAATGTAAGTTTCACCAAATAAGAAAATTTGAGACTGAGCATGATAGCACGTACCCGTAATCCAACACTTGGGAAGTTGTTTAGTTTGACGCTACAGGACAAGCTGAGACCAATGTAAGCTACATTTAAAGACTGTTGAAAAATAATGGGAAAAGGAATAAGGAAAAGAGAGGCATGAGGGAAAAGCAGAAGAGATGAGGGAAGATGAGAGGGAAAAGGATGTTGCAGGAGATTTGATCACATGTTGTGAAAGGCATCTTCTGATTGATTTAATAAAGAGCAGAATGGCCAGTAGCTAGGCAGGAGAGAACAGGTGGGACTTCTAGGGAGAGAAAGGAACTAGAGAGGAATCTAGGATCATGAGAGACACCAGTGAAAGGCAGAACAAGTTAGGCATACAGAATGGGAGAGAGGTAAAACCCAAAATGTAGATTGATAGAAACAGGTTAATTTGAGTTATAAGAGCTATTTGGGAACAAGCCTAAACTAAGACCAAGCTTTCAGAATTAATAATAAGTGTCATTATTGGGAAAGTGGCAATTCCAAGAAAGTCTAATTCCAAAAGAATGAGGGAGGGGAGGAAATGAGAGAAGAGAGGAGGGGAGGGGAGGGACACACAAGAACCCAGGAAAGATGGAACTGGGAAGTCTGTATTATAGAGAGATGTCAGCTAATAGAAAACTATGACTGTCTTCATTTTCTTCTCAGTGTTTAGTGTGTGTCACAGGGCAGACATTCAATAAATATTTATAAGTGAACAAACTACAAAGTGGATCCAGTGATGAGAGATGGGGGTTCCCCAGAAAGAGCCAGCTTTATCTCCTTGGTGTCCACAGAACAATGGTATCTGTTAAGAGTGATTTGCACTTAGAGGGACCCACACTTTTCTAAGACGCATGCTAGTATGTCCAGGAAGTGTAGCTATAGAATTAAAGAAAGCATACTCGATGTTGTTGTGTATTTGGAAAGTTGAAAACTTATTTTAAAAAAGGGAGGCAAAGCACTGCAACATTTCCAAGTTCCAGGCTGAAGGGATGCTTTTAGGTGGTCAGGCATAAGCTCTGTGTGCACAGCAAAAGGAAATGAATTCTTCAGTTTCCAAAGGGTTCATCTCCACGAAGACCCTGGTTTTGCTTTGCTCCCTTTTTAGGGACAAATGCATCATCTTGCTCTTTCTTCTTAAATGCATTGCAAAGGTGCAGAATGTGAGAAAGAGTGCAGTCATGAATGACACGAGTGTGTCCAGAAAGTCAGATGGATCCGATGTATCATCATAGATGTATCACTTTTGATTTCTGGTCTTCTTGCAATTGGTTCCTTGTTCCAGCTTGTCAAGGCCCTTTGGATCCTGCTTTACTGTATTTCCAATACAGCATTGCCCATAAACTGGAGATATGTGCATAGCTAATGGAAGCAGAGCTGTTTAAGGTGATAATATTTCATCGATGCAGCTGTGAGTTCTGTACAGAAACAATTGCTCCGGTATTTGAGTGTTAGAGTTACATGAGGCAACACTCTCTCATTCAGCGCAGGTCTTAAGACTTCACTTTGCATAGTTAACCTGTAGAAACTTTCCTTTTATGAAGTCATCTGCTCTGCTGGAGGCCATGGATATCTCCAGAAGGCCCTGGGTTTTCTTGCAGAAAGAAAGCTAGTAAGCACCTGCCTTAGCTATCCATCCGGAAAAGCAGGAGGCCACAGCGTGCTGTGGGGTGTTGTCATTCCTGACAAAGCTGCATAGTGTACTGCAAAAGCTAAGGCACCTGAGATGATGGTCCCTACAGGCGCCACACACCCTAAGACTTCACACACAACTCCAACACACCTGCCATTTAGAACTGTTCATACCAACAACTATTCGGGGACAGGCTGGCATATGCAAGGTTTTGTTCTGTGGGCCTGTGCACTTTTATACGTGATAATAATAAATAGGATCATCTACAGTAAATGCTCTATATTCTCGTCTTGACTTGAACAGAAATATATAGAATGTGCTTCAGAACTAGAACATGGTCCTTCTTAGAACATGATTTCTTTGAGACTTTGCTTTCACTAACAACTTTTAAACAGACAGAAATAACAAGCTTTACAACCAAATATTCATTGATTTCTTGTATTACAGTAGTAGCTTCAAACATAAAGGGAAGCATGAAGTTGGTAAGTAAAACACACTTCCAATAAGAACTGATGGCCTGCATGAGTTGAAGGTATAGCTGTGGGACTAGAAGTATGACGGACGCTTCTGTTGTGGCAAGTACAACGTGGAGGGCAGCAGGGCTCCGGTGGTGTGGAGAGGGTGCATGTAAAGTTAACGAGCCAAACAACTGCCGTGTGATGGAGATAAAGGCTTTTTTCTGAAAATTTGATGTCTTGTGGTTTGAGTCTGACATGGCCTGACAGGCTCCTGAGTCTGTTCCCACCTGGAGCTGTTTGGAAGCTGTAGAACCTTTGGCCCCCAGCTGGTGGCGCTGTTTAAAAGGCTGCAGAACCTTTTGTCTCCAGCTGGTGGTGCTATCTGAGGAAGCCATAGAACCTTGGGCAGCATCTTGTTAGCGCTCTGCTTCCTGGTTTTCTGCAAAGTAGGTGGTTCTGTAAGGCTCCTACTGCTGGTTCCACCATGCCCTTTTCAGGGTGATGAAAAGAAACCTTCTAAAAAAGTCAGCAGAATAAACACTTTCTTACCACAGACATGTGAAGGAAGAAAAGAGCATCCTTCGTGTCTGAAAGCATGACTGCGACAAATACCTGACAGGTGCAACCTAAGTAAGAAAAGTTAACGGGGACATTCTAGCACTACGGGTCCATGAATAATAGGGAGTAGATGATATACAGAGATTCAACGGCCACAATAGCACAGAGTCCAGGGAGTCGTCAGGGGGGAGACCCAGCATGGCCAGGACTAGAAGCTGGAGAGCTCATGATGGAAAACGGTTTCAGAGGTCACAGAAAATTCTTCCACCCCAAGCCACAGTGAAAACCCAAGTTGCAATGGGTTAAAAATGAAGACAACAGAGCTATATATCATTTTCAGTAACATTTACTACCTTGACTTTGGCTTTTGTAGTGAAAACAATGCATGTATTTGTATCAAAAGCTTTGTAAAATGTATATCAATATGCCCCGTGGTAATGTCCATCCTTTAAAGAACTTCTTAAAAGTTGTCAACTAAATGGGGCATCCAGTTAAAATGGTGTGTACAGCTCAGTCAAACAAAGTTATACTCTGTATTCAGGACACCAAGTATACAAAATTGGTTCCACACTGTCTCTGGTAAAGTTCATAGGAGTTCAGTTCATGTTTGGTGGCTCAGGCAGAGATGGGGATGAGGAAGGCAGAGTTCTGGGCAGGGTGGCATCTGACGATTTGTCTCTCCTGATTCAGCTGTCCCACAATATCTCGAACCCGGACGGCTGTGTTGTATACTCAGCATGAAATCTTATGAAGACTTGATTTGATGAAGCTGTGAAGGGAGCTAGCCTAAGGTCCTAAAATTGAAGGAGGGGGGAGAGATTATTTTTCAAACTGAACACATTTCTAGAAATGTCAGCCTACTTAAAGTGTTACCTATAGAAGCATCATAGAGTTTACATTCTGTAAGTTCTAATAGTGAACCAACACATATTTCTACAAGTAACTTGTCAATAAAGAATGTATTTATCAATACAAAAAAATGCTCCCAGGGACAGAAAGCTGAGAGGTGATGGGTGGGGAGGTAATGATAAAGTCCCAATTTTCTTTCATTTTCTAGATATCTGAATGGAGTGTAAACAATGGTGTGCATCTTTACCACAACATAAAGAGTATGCAGATCATCACACAGAAGCTAGCTACTGGAGGAGCACATGTTACAATTTTTTCTTTTATTCCTATGCTTTATATTATGGGTTAACATTGTGAAATATTAAATAAATTGGTAATGTCTTTCATTTAATGAAATAAAGGAGCAAAGTAATTATACATGGGAGGGAGTATATTTTGAAAACACCAGCATGCCCAGGTTTATACTTAGATTTAATGTGACACTGATCTACATGGGAGTTATCTGCCTCCTAAGGCCCCGGTTCTCCTGCAACTATGAAGTACAGAGTAAACTTTTCTTCCTGCAACACAGACTGTCCACTGTGGGATCAAATGGAGCTGAATGCTTGGAAGACACTGGACTACACAGGAGCAATACAAACATTAAAAAAAAAGATATATCTTTTGTTTTATCCTGGGCATAACAGTGACAGGGTGCCTACTGCTCCCAAGATCAAAATTTCTCCCCAAGTAACCAACTTCCTGTGTGAAGATATAGTTAGCAAAATGTTTCCTGGAGTGGCCGCTGTGGTCATGAAAAGTTGAGAGCAGAGGGTCTCTGCTAAGTAACCAGGGCTATACCCAGGTACATAGAAAAGGATACACTGAAAACGTATCTAAGTCGGTGGGTGTGGTAAGATATTAATGACAGATTGGTAAGTGACTAAACAGTATAAAATATGCATATATGTGTATACAGTCAATGAAAAGTTCTGGAAATAATAGGTAGCATTCTCAAGCTTTTAAATTTTTGATGTACTTACTGATATTTCTAAAAATAAAATTTTACAACAAATCTTAAAATAATGTGTACATTTTTAATTCTATAGATTTCCAGTGATATAATGTTTTTCCAGTTTGATTCAAAGTCTCATGTAAATAAAGAGAATAGTTAGAAACTATTGCCCTAATTCTATAGGTTTCAGCGGTGAGTGTAGTATAACATATCTACCACCAGATAGCGCTCATGGTCCCAAATAGAAAACCACGGTCATGCAACTTTTGTTTTTTACTTGTACCTATACTGTTACTGTCAATGTTTAAAAATCACATGTGAAAGTCTAATGTTTGTTTTACTCACTGTTCCACAGTATGGTCCGAAGGATGGTGAGCTGGCATCTGGCCCATCGTAGACAATGAGGTAGTTGTGGGCACAGTCTCCTGGAGGGTTAATACTGACAAAAGGAAACCTGACCGTGACTCGTCTTCCAGAAGGAGCGAAGATGGCCCATTCACAGTGAGTGTTGTTTGAGTAGCTGCCAGGATAACCAGGGCTGGAGAAGATACCATCGTCACCGAAAAGAGTCCCTCCACAGCCTGCAAGGAAGGAATAGGAAAAGGTACTGTTTAGCAAAATATAAACCACCCAGTTTGCTTTCCCACACATGCAGGCAATGGAAGGGACAGCTTCATCTTCTCAAGGGGGCAGAGAATCTGCAAAAGTAGCCAGGCAACGCAGAAACTCTCCTGTTGGGTGACAGCCCCTCCAGGCCTCAGCCTCTCAAGTGGAGGACTGCAGGCCTGTAACGCCAGCACACCCATCACCTCCTCCCTTTGTCTCCAACTAGGGCAGTTATTACTGACTGACTTTGGGTATAGAGACTTCGGTATCGTGGTTATTGCATGGGAACCTTTCTTATCCCTGCGTACACTTCAAAGATTCCTTTTATGTTTGCATTGCATAGGTTTTCAGCTATCACAGACCCTTCATGAAGATATCCCTCCTTTCTTGAGCTAAATGTGCTCACATGACTTATATTTCCTGCTACTTAATAAATAGGCAAACATTCAGGAAGATGGTTATCACCCTGAAAAAGCAATTCTGATACAGGACTGCCACCAAATGACAGGACCCAGGAAGGGCACAGCTACTCCTATGAGCATACCATCAGGAGCTTCTGTGTACACCCAGTGGGCTGCTCACTGTGTACACAGGCAGCTGCTCGTACACACATAAATGTCTTCCTGATTCAGCCTTCTTGTAATTCCATTCACTGAATTCTCAAAGAGAATTCCTTGGTGATGAAACCAGAAGAATGAGGTAAAGTTTATATGGGGATGTTTACATCCTCACGCCTTCTACATGTAAACTGCAGTCTTATAAGAATGATAAATAATTGTAGGATTTTGAAAGATTAGATCTTTCAGTGTTAAAAATTTGAATTTTTCCCAGAAAACCATCAGGTGCAGATCTAATGTGGTAAAGGCCTTTTAAATCTATAAATCCTATTTCCTGTGGACACTGTGTCTAGACTCCGGCGGCTTCCTTCACAGTGAGTATCTTACCAGAAGGAGAGGAGGTCCAGATAATGTCATATCCAGGGAAGGTGACTGAGACATCGGTCTTGAACCTCAGATACAGTTCATTGCTCGGAGAGAAGATGGGGCTTGGCAGTAGTTTCCCACAGTACTTGTTAAGCAGCGGTGAACTGCTGGTGCTGCCATTTCTTACCTGTTAAAACCAGTCATTAGTTATCTCATCCATGTTATCCCTGCTTCAATTTATCATTAACACATGAGGCAAGGGTTGTGTTTGTTTTTTGATACAGTGTCTCCTCCTAGCTCAGATTCGCCTCAAACTCCCATTGTTCAGGTTCCAGAATACTGGAATGAAGCTTTACATGTCTGAGAAGGAAGGAGTCTCTGTAAACACAGGAAGTCACCTTGATTTGTAGAGGAAGAAGTGTTAGCTCACACATCATTTGCATTGGAATTTAGAAAATACCTGTTGAACTATAGCCATGGAAATACCAGGCATCCGCGTGCTATATTAGTCTGAGAAGCTGTCCTCCTTCCCTCCCATAGTTCAGAACCTGGCTAGCCTCTGGCTGAAACCACCCAGCCTCTGCCATGGCCCTACAAACTCTATGTGCAGAAATTTTAAGGAATATAAAGTGAGTGTTGGGGGGGGCACCTAGTGTTTGGACTGTTTCCAGTCGTTATACTCTATTCCTGGCAGAGCGGCAGGTAGTGGGAAAAGCATAAAGTGGTTGCAATGTACAGAGTGCACCATAGCTCAGTAACAGGTCTTTTTCATGTGGGAAAAGGAAAGCGCCCCAGGCAGCTATAATATTTCTGACCCTATTGAGTTTCTTTTCCTCTGAGGTATGGAAGAGAAACAGGAAATGAGGGTGGGAGGGTAAGCACCTGTGAGTCCAAGTTCAGCATTATATCATGCTTCCTGCCGAGTGTTCTCAGAGCACTCTAGAGGCTTCATGTGTGAATGGTTACAGGCAATGAGTAGGCAGTGCATGGAAGAGCTGGTTTTAGCATCTATATGTCCAGAGTCTGAGAAGCCGTCCCCCTTCCCTTCCATAGTTCAGAACCTGGCTGGCCTATGTTAGCTGCAACCACTAGGTGAATGATCTGGGTAGACTTCTTCTAGACCTAGGCAACAGCAAGTGTTTGAATATTGTTGGTTCTTCTGCTAAATGTTTAAACAAATTGGCTCTGGCTGGAACGGACTGGTTAGTTATCTCCAAGGCCTTGGGAGAGCTGCTATGTTTGAGAATGTTGGAAGGTGGGACCTGCCACCCCTGTACTCTTGACTTTGAGTTTGCTTTCCTTGGGATCCTCTTTTAAATTGCTACTGAGGAGGAGAGACATAAAGCTTAGAGCTTACCACATCCATGTTTCTAAGGAGGATGGGGTAGGTCAGAGCAGAGGAAAATCTGGGAAATCAGAAAGGGAGTTGGATGTACATGTGTTCCCAGTAGGGTCTGGAGTAGGGCCCTATCTGCTAGCAATACAATGTAGAGTCCTCATGAAAGACTTCCATTCCCACCATAGTTAACTTGAACGGAACACTAGGGCTTCCTGTACACTGTCTCCTCAGGAGCAACAGACTCAGATATGTTCAGGCCATGTTGTAGCTCCCTATCTCTGCGAATGTAACCGGAAGTTCCTCATCCATTCTCTGGAATGGAGGAGGATGTCTGGGAGGCATAATTCCAATGCTAAAAAGCAAGACTTCACTTCCCAGGACCCCTGACTAGCACAAGCTGCATAGCTTCTCTGTCTTCATTTCTTCCCTCCTTCTCATTTCCTGCCATGGAAAGTATCCCATGAGGAAGACATGAGCTTTCCCTGGGAATTCGCTCTTTGTTAAGGTTACTGATTAACAACAGATTTAGTTTAATTCTTTATGGAAAGCTTTCCTACATAACAAGCCAGCAGGAAGCTTGTGGGAGCTGAATCCACGTGCAAAGACCATCACCTGGGACACCATTCTCCCTCAGGTTGAGGACCACATGGGGGTGGGTGGGATAGGAGGGTACAGAAACAAGACAGCTGGGGATGAGCTGGTGACCAGAAAGACAGGAAATCTGTTAGTGCTAAGAAACAGCAGAAGACAAGAAGCTGATGGAAAAGAAACATCAGAAGGGGCAGTATGAGCCTGAAAGTTGTTTATCCCACAAAGATCAGACAGTTCTGGAGAGCTTATTTGGAATATAAAGCTAATCGAACACAGAAATTTTAACTACCCTGAGTTGATTAATATGCATGACATACGTGTTTGCAAAATCATATTCTACCCTAACTATGTACAGTTAAAATAGTGATTAAGCTTTTAAGGTCCCAATCAAAGAGGCAGTAGCAAAATAAATAAATAAATAAACCTTTGAGTCAGGTGTGGAGGCTGTGGACATCTTTCAGTGCCTTTTCTGTATAGCCACATGATCAGTTGGGAAGTTTTAGATTCAGTGTTGGCAGAACACAGGTGTGGCACCCATTTAATGCCCCTGGGAACCAGTGTGTAAAAGCCTTCACACATAACTGGTGTTATTGACACCTTGGTGTCCCACTCATCCTGCAGGTCAGAACTCAGATCTAACTTCCTTGAAAACTCTTCTCTGTTCCCTTCCTGAATGGTGCTTCAACTGACTATGACACTGGCATCCATACTCCACTTCCAGTACTAAGACTAGGATATGCTCAGTATACATTTATAGAATGAAAAAATAATGATTAACTTAACAAAAGCAAGAGAGACATATTGGATTAACTTCACTATAGAAAAATTCTTGGCAATCCACCATCTTTTTTACATCATCCATTTAAACTACATTCAAATATATATTACCTCCAAGAAATCATGCTGACATTGTACTGAGTCTTCCAGCTCAAACCAATAGAAAAAGAGGGAAATAGTGTGGTTCTCTGGGGCTCTGAGAATAATGATGCAGTCCAGGTTATTATCATAATCTTGAGGCCACCCAGGACTCTTCAGATTGCCATATCCTTGGTTGTATTCTCTGTTGCAATCTAAGATAGAAAACAATACTCATAATTAATGTGAACACCCACACATTTAGCATTCTTTCATCTTGACAATTCAGTGTTTAACGTCTACTGAATCTGAGCAAAGTTCAGAAGCTACTCCTGCCTCTTGGCTGATGTTTGTGAAAACTGGGAACTGAGAGATGCCAAGAATTTAAGATGCTGAGGATTACACATGCACAGCTTCAGTGCTGTGCCTGGCTAATATGGAAGCCCCCATGTGAAAAGTGTGAAATTCAAGCACCCTTTGAAGAACACTGCAGCATCTTTTGGACTCTCCTGCCCACTTGTGGGAAGTCATTGACTGACATGTAGACTTTTTCTAGACATTATCTGCATAAGGATTCCCTTTGGTGAACTGTTAGTTCTGATAAAATTCACATTTTTCTTTTTACCATTTCTTTTGGTAAAACAAAACCCAGAAGTAACTGTCTTTGAATCAAATGCTGCCTTAGTTTTAATCAAGTTCAAAACAGTCCTTACTGGAAATATTCTCTGCAAACATTTCTTAGTCACCAAACGCAAGTAACTTTTTCATTAATCATGCTACTTGCAAAATAATTTCCTAGGATAGAGTGATTCCCACCATTGGGGCCACACCAAACATGGCTGAACTGTGAACTTCAGCAAAGAATGTGCTACTGGAGATACCTTGAAAAGCTTAGGTTTTTAATTGGCTAAGGTGGGCCCGAGTCTCAGTTGAATCTTACTTCTGATGGCTATGTGTTACGTTAGCCAAACCTGATGTAGTCAGAGCAGTCAGTTCCAGCAATTCCTGTCATCAATTTGCTTTCCCCATAAACAACAAGTGTTCGGCTCACCTGCAATCTGATAGGTGAAATGCACTCGCGAGTTTGTGTTTAAAACTTCAGATTTGAAAACAACAACTGCAGTCCTCGTTGAAGAATAAAAGGCCGGCAAGGCTGTAAAGTTGGCACCGCAGAACTGAGTCACTGGGCCGTTTCTCTGAAATGAAATAAAAGCCACGTTGCCTGAGATTTGGTTTCAGAAGAGGGCACCCAAACCAGGTAGCAAACTGTATGTATCATGTGACTTTAGTATCCAGTCATGAAAAACAGCTAGTGTCTCAAGTGTCCTGCAACACTTGCATCAGCAGAGGGAGGAGCAGAGTGTCTGCTAAGCCCATGAGCAGATCACTTCTCTACAGAAAACGAGGTCGTTCCCTCTCAAGCCATATCACAGCCAAAGCCTGTGTTTTGCTGGGAGCCGAGCAAGGCTGTGTGAGCACCCTACAGGTCTGTTATCCCACTTCTCCCACAGTCTAGAATTCAGTTTAGATTACCCAGACCTGGTTGTACTCCCTAGAATACTCCCTTCCCTGTCATCCTTGTTAATGCCCTTAATAATGTCCCTGTTCTCTCTAACAGCAATTTGGAGCCCTTGTTCCCTCTCCAATGCACAGGGTAAATGTCTAATAATTTCTACAGATAGAAGCAAGTACCCCAAAGGCAGCACCCAGCAGCCCCTGTCACATTATGCATGTGGCTGAAATACCGTGGCTCTTGGACTCTGTCTGAAGGCACATGGTCCAGCCCTGCTTCCAGACTGCTGTTACTGGTCTGTGCTCCTACACCTACCCTTAGCCCACTGTCTTCTGTATTGGCCATACCCCAAGTTTGCCTGCTGTGACCTCTAAACTTTAACAGCATTGCTTACACCCCAAGACTTTCAACTTCGTAGTCTTATATGAATCTCAGCTCTCCAGCAGTCTCACGAAGGCTTTCTCCACAGTTCACTGGGTGAAAGTGGTGTAGGGTGGTGGAGAGGGTCCTTCGGTGTTCTTCCTGACAGCATGGGCCCTCTGTAGTGTCTTAGCTCATCGTAACCTTCTACGCCCTAGGCTTGCTCTGAGCCCTTAGAGGCTTTGACTATTTTTACAGACAGTGCATTAAACATCCTTACTTTAAACTTTACACGGGTGACACTCATTTCCACTTTATATGGTTGTCTACTCCAGAGCTGGCTATCCACCCTACACCTTCTCCAGTGTTCACACACCCACCAAACAAGCCTTTCATGATCTTCCAACTAGCTTTTCCTGCTACTCTCGAGTGCCTTGAGAGTTCCAGTTTCCCCCAGCCTACCTACCATTTTGTTACTGTTACCATCTTTATTCCCTGCTTGTCCACCGTATTCTCCTTCATTCAGTCTGAGCATATTGCTCAGTGATGAGAAATACATATTTCTCATCATTGAGACCCTTAGAGGCTTCGAGTATTTTTACAGACATCACATTAAACATCCTCACTTGTATGATTTGAAGCCAGTTTGTCTGCTCTTGTGTACCTCAGTTCCCCCCATACCCCTTTATGTGCTGATGAGGAATCTGCCCTGATCCCCCTTGTTCCAGCCTCATAAAGTGGATGGGAAACTGAAAGACCTTTGACCCAAAGGGTCTCATTTCACTTGGCTCTAAGTCCTTCTTGTGGGGCTTCTGCTAGGAAATAGGACCTCTGTGCTGACAGTCACTGTTGGTGGAATGTTGCTAACCCAGTATCTCAACCACCTCAGGAGCCTAAGAATAACCTTGGTCTCTAGGATCTACACGACATTCAGCTGTTCTCTAGCGTGCGCATCTCGGACCCTCTACACCAAGTCAAACTAGACTTTTGTCTCCCCCAGCAAGCTAGGGACGTGTAAGAACCAGAGAACCCTAGTTTTGTAATGTGGAGGGCCCTGAAAACTCAGGAGGAGAGCTCTGCTATTGCCAGGCCTCAGGCACTTGAATATGTCCTTCTGAGAGTAAAAGAGTTGTCTGTTTACCCAACTACAGAGACCATCCAAATGCTTCCCAATAGTTTCAGGGTATGAGCTCAGCCTATGAGCCCTGAATTTAATTATTTTCTCTGGCCACCTTGTTACTCTCCTTGTTCCAACTATTTACCGAGGATATGATGCTGCTCAAATCTCTGGGTCTTTCACACACCAGTTGTCTCAGCATCTTTGCCCATGTGAAATTAAGACTAGGATATTTATCTCCTTGGGCCTCAACAGTTTCTGTTTCTCCTTTTTAGTTCTCTCAGACTGGCATAAGTGTAGCCCTAATAAACCAAACAGACTCAGCTGGTTTTCCTGTATTTTGTATGAATCCCTTCAGATCACCCTGTATACACCCTGCTAGCCACAGATGTGGTTCTCCAGGTGTGGCCCATGGTGCTCTGGGATTGGTGGCAGAATACAAGACATGTTCATCACGCTTTGATTAATGTGAGTTATGTAGATGACTCCGTGTCTAAAGGGAGCCCTAGAAATGTGCATTTTTAACAAGATACCTGGATGATTCTTAGACACGGGATATTTTTGAAAGCCTTTTTCCCACAGGACTACATTTAACTTTCTCAGTATAATGGAAAGGAGGGCTTTGCCTCCTGGTGAAAACAATACAATTCTAGAAGTATTGGGGCCGTTATTCAGGTTGGCTTCATTACTTCCAGTGTTTGCAGATGTGATGGCCATTATCCTGAGCTCTTTACCTGTGGTGAATCTTGAAGTTCTAAGTAGTTCTGTGAGCAGTCTTGTGAGGTCAGCTGTAATTCCCACACAGTTATCTTGATCTGCTTGTGGGGAGGAGCCTCAATGGTCCAAGTACAGGTGGAAAATGGACGCCTGATGTTTGACAAATGAGGTGATGAAGCGTTTTGTGGGGCCAAAGTTGCAACATGTGTTCCCCCACAAAGCACTGAGGAGAGGAGAAAGGAAAAATACAGATGTTTTAATCATGTCTAATTATACATACCATCTTTAAAACCGTGCTCTAGCCCAGCCCACAGGAAATATTTCATTATTCTTTTAAGGAATTGAGTGTATGCCCTGGTGAGGCAGGGCTACAATCCCAGCTCCTGACAAGCTTGAGGCAGGAGGATGAAGTTCAAGTCTAGCCTGGCAGCTTAGTGTGGCTTTGTTAAAGAAAAGGGAAAGGCAAGCCCACGTGTGTTTAATAATCCACTGAAGTTGTAATTAATTTAGATATAATAAGCATGCATTCTTGTCAGTGCCTGAGGACACATGTATTCATAATGTGTCAGAAAACTTACTGTCCACAAAGGTATATGTTGCATTAAATCCTCCTTTTTCAAAAGTTACATCAGAGACAAACTGGAACGTAAGGAAGTTTCTCGAAGAGATAAAAGGGGCAGGTATTTGGGAACCGCAAAAAATTCCACCTAAATTTGAGGTTATGCTCATGCCATCTGCTATCTGGAAGACAAGGGAATTTATAGTAGTTAATAGAGGAATTGTTATTTTACAGTGAGGTTACCATAGGTCAGTACTAAGGGTCTCTATATTGGTGTTCTTACAGACAGCCTTAATTTAGATTGATAATACTATAATGGCCTTCAGTAAAAACCCAGTATGATGCCAAATATATTTTCTCTTAGGAAAAGTAGTATATAATTAAAAAAGTATGTCTGTGGGCTCCTCAGACTATTCCTAGTATCTCTGCTGCCCGAATTATTACCAACGGCACTTTCTGAGGCTTCCTGGATACATAAACTCTTGTTTCTCCTCTTTACTCTACTCTCAGGAGGTCACCCAGAGTTTGCTGCTAAAATGAAGTCAGGCCAGGAGCTGCCTAACTGCTTCCTCCCTCTTAATACAAAGGCCATGCCCATGATAGCAGTTGTCCAGGCCTAAGGGAATGGGCTCTTCTCCCACCCCAGACCTCATGGGTCTCCTTTCTGGCTGTGGGCTTGTCTGAGTTCCTTGAGAATCCCAGGCTCAGTCCTGCTTCACAGCCATAGCATCTGCGTTCCTTTGCTGGACCACTCTTCCCTGTATCTTTTCTATGATTCCCTCAGGTCTCGCCTCCTACATCACCCACTGTGTTCCCAGACTTTAACAGTATGTAAGGCAGAAACACATGTGGTTTCATCAATACCTAGGAAGTTCTTTGATTATTCCCCCACTACCCACCTTCCTTGGTCTGTATTGTCTACAGAGTACTGTAGACAAAGTCATTTATTAGCAAGTAAGTTGATTTTGACAGTTCTGGAGACTGAGAAGTCCAAAATTCCAGGACTACTCCAATGAAGACCTTCTCACCTTCTGACATGAAAGCATCATACGAAGAGATGGCAGGATAGTTCTGCACTAGCTTCCTCTTTTATGAAGTCATCACACCATCCTAGGAACTCCACTGTCATGACCTCTTCTAATCCCAATTATATCTCAAAGCTCCCCTGATACCATTAGCATGTGGGTTCGAGGTTTGTGTTTCTAACACACAATCTAGGGTGACATGCTCACGTCACGGCACACCCTTCCCTAAAATGTTCTCCCCAAGCCTTCTCTGTCTCAACAAACAGCGCAAGACTAAACTGCGGTCATACCTAACTCTTCTCCATTCCCACTACAACCACACCTGCTTCTTTCTGCCTTCTGAATGCATCTGCATCAATGTCACGCCTCCCCATGCCTTCATCACGCGAACCAGCTGCAGAGAGCACCCACAGAGTTCTCCACCGTGCTGCCCAGGTGTCTGATGACCTAGATTATGCTCTTGTTCTTCCTGAAAAGCTACACCTTGCACCTAATGCGGAGTTTTCACTCTTTACCATCCTCTGGAAGCCCTGGCCAATACAGATGCTACGCCTCCTCTCGCCTCCCTCTCCTCACTGCCTCTGGCAATCTCCTCCCTTGGTGGCACATTCTTTCTAGAAGGATTGATAACTCCTAAACATAGAGCCTCAGCTTGTGAGTCACCTCCTCAGAGAGACCACCCCCACACAGTCCTGCCCTCCTCCGGTAGCATCCTGCAGTTTTACTGCAATCAAACTGTATCCTCTCTATTGCTTATTTTCTTTCACTGGGCTCCCTCTCTGCAAGAATGTGAACTGCACAAATAGAGGCATGGAGCTATGCTCAGAAGTGTGTCCAGCACCAAGAACCATTCATGGCCCTCACAGTCTTTTACAAACACCCAAGGAAATAGTGATGGATTAGATAGATGTCCCTCAAACCCTGTATTAAAACACAACATAGGTTTTGTTTTTGTTTATATTTCACTGATCTTAATTATACTTCAATAATGAGTTTCTGTATTATGAACTCATAGCAGAACCATATCAGATCAAAGATCTTAGAGCAGTGCTTCTCTGACATTGTTATAAAATGAAGATGAATTTCAAAATTAAAGGGTAAATAAACTCACCACTAGATGGCACTGTCTCTCCTATATGAATAATTTCAATTCCTGTAGAGTGGAAAAGTGGAGTTCTGCAATCTAACTAACACCCTCGATTTACAGAAAAGAAGAGTTGCAACTTTAGGACAATGTACTTTTTCTGATAAAAAAAATGGAGTTTCATTACACCCACTGTGGTCTTCACGATTATCAAAAGCTTTTCCAGTTTTGTATCACGTGCCTGGCTTGTGTTGGGTCTTGTGTGTATGGAGAGGCATAAAAGCACTCTCTGTACCTTCACAGTGCTCACTGGCCAGTGAGCAAAAAGTAATGTAAGCATATGTATATATGTATTTCTCTATGTAAATATTTTTTACAAATACATATGGGAAAATACAAAAAAGAACAAAGAAAGATAAAAAACGTCAAATACAGCAGGGGAAATACGTGCTGTAAAAGAAAGAAGTGTGTTGGGTATGAGAGAGTTGTGAAAGACCATCCAATTCATGCCAAGAAGCTTGGATCTCACTCTACAAGATCAGACGTGGGTCTTAAATTAAGACTGGTAAATGTGAAGGGAAGTATGAGGGAGAAGCCAGCACTGGATAGAAAGTGGCCCTGTGCACCATGACAGTCATTCAATTACAGTTAAAGTGAGAGTCGCACAAAGAATTGGAGATACAGAGTTACTACTGGCATGGTTCCTAGACTTCTGTGCAACCAAACCCAACATTCTTTCTATCTCTCTTCTGTTCTCTGACAATGCTAAATCTCCACTGTGGGAGACCCTGCATGACATTGGGATAGGAATTGCATGTCTATGGTGCCTTGAACAATAACCCAGTCACACCTTACTTCCTAGAATCCCTTATCACTGTGACACAATGCCTATAAAAATCAGCTCAAGAGAAAAAAAATGATATACTTTGTCTCCTGGTCTCAGTCCATGCATGACTAATCTCTGTAGTGACATAGTTACAGAGCTTGTCGTCTGGGTCCTGTAATGAGGTAAAGCATCGTGACAGAAGGACATACTGGAGGAGGTTGCATACTGCATAGAAGCTGTGACAAAGAGAGAAAGGAGGGGTTGGGGCTCGAGTGTCCTCTCAAAGGTTGGTGTCCTCAGTAACCAACCTTCCTAACAAGTCCCTATGTTGGCAGATGTGCCTTCTTAACCGCTACGTTTTGGTGGGGCATTCAAGACCCAGAGACTATCATAGTAACAGTTACTTAATCTTTATGGTATAATCTGGCTTGCACACTATCCAGAGTGCTGAGTCAACCTAGCTTTCATAGAGTGTGATTTTTATTACAATATTTAATAGATGATTTAAAAGGTGACGGTAAATATTGATATCAACTTAACAAGATCTAGAATGACCTAGGGGACCAGCCTCTCCTCTGAGCATGTCTGTGAGGGAGTTTCTGGGTTAGGTTAACTGAATTAGAAAGATCCCACTCTAAATGTGGGTGGTGCCAGCCCATGACCTGGAGGTCTGGACTGAATACAGATAGAGAAAATGAGCCGAGCACAGAATTTATCCCTCTCTGTTTTCTGACTGCGGACATAATGTGACCAGCTGACACATGCTCCTACTGCCATGGCTTCTCAGCCATGATGAGATATGTCCTCAAACCATGAGCTGAAATAAGTTGTTCCTTTCATTGCACAGGCCTATCTCTCTAATGAAGACATTTCAAGTTTCACATTCCCAGTGCTTTCCTTACTGGGGAAGTTGCCAGTAGATAAAGCTGCGTTCCAAAACTGGAAAGGATAGTAGCCCCAAAGAGCACTTATTTGTGATAGATAGATAGATAGATAGATAGATAGATAGATAGATAGATAGATAGATATAGATAGATAGATATCAAGATTTCATTTTGAAGTTAGCAAACAACAATTCCTCTTGATGCTGCTATTTCTGTCAAAATGGCTTTAGGAAGTCCATAGGGTCACGTTCTTATATATTACCAAATCACACTCACAGAATCTCTCTTAAGAATCAAGTGGTGGTGCACACCTCTAATCCCAGCACCGGGGAAGCAGAGGCAGACAGATTTCTGTGAGTTCGAGGCCAGCCTGGTCTACAGAGCTAGTTCCAGGACAGGCTGAAAAGCTACAGAGAAACCCTGTCTTGAAAAAAAAATAGAATCAAGTCAACAAATTTGCCTCCTTGCAGGACCTAAGATATCTTACATGAGTTAAGTTTCCACTCTTTGGATGAATCACTTTTAAAATATTCATTAGTTGTTGTTGTTGTTTTTGGTGGTGGTGGTGTGTGTGTATGTGTGTGTGTGTGTGTGTGTGTGTGTGTGTGTGTGTGTGTGACATGCATGTATATAAGCATAGGTGTATGCATGCGTGCTGCAGCATACCAAGGACTACTTTTCACTATGGGTTGAGGCTTATGAAGCAAGTGCTTTTACCTGTTGAGACTTCTTGTCTATCCTTATTTTTGGTATTTTTAAGAAAAGGAAATTCCACAATCTCTATGCATACTTGGAAATAACCAAAGGGGGGAAATGGAATTAAACTGGTCAATGAATTATTATATGACATAACGTGCAACACCCTAATACACATAATTTTTATTCTCAAAATAGCCTTGCATAGTTGCTACTATTGTATGATTATTTTAAACTAAATAGAGTGATAAGAAATCATGTTAATTAAGAGTCTTATTTGGTAATAAAGCTGGGTTTGAGTCAACCTACTATCTGCATTCAAATCCTATTTCTTTTCGGTAACCTAGAGAAGAGGGTTTTAAATAACATCTTAAGCTGTTCTGGCTACTTGGGTCTCATTTTAAAGAAGGATTGAGCTTGGATGGACACACATCATACCAGGCTTTGTTATCTCTAGTTCCTCATGAACTCCCTCGGATCAACTGGCTTCTGTCCCAACGTCTTATTAAAATGCTTCTCTCATCCAGTGAAATAACTTTCTTCAGCACAGCCTTTCTTGGCCCGTAGCCCAGCCTAAGGGCACCGGCCACCCACACATCACTTGGAAAATCATCTTCCCTTGACTTCTGTGCACTGCTCTGCTCCTTGCTGTCGCAGGCTTTTCTCACTCATCTCTTTCCTCCCCTCATCTCGGTCCTGCCACTGCATCCCTGGGTACCTTTCCTAGAACTGAATGGGAGCATGGCTGTATGGCTTCACGCTGTCTAAGGAAGCATGATTCTCTGAACTTTTTAGGAAGCTTTGGATGGCATCTACATAAACAGAAGAAAAAAAACCAGACGGATGAAGGGGTGTTTCTATTTGCACTTCAGATGTTAATTATATTAGGAATTGTCAAATCCCTTTGAGAATCTCATTCCATGCACCTGTCTTCATATAGATCACCCCTTACAAGGCAGTGAACAGGACAAAGCCGAATCTTGAAGTGAATGTGAGAAGTCACTTGAAGTTTGAGTCATGATAGCAAACAGGAGCTTGAATAAGAAACCAGCCCCTGTGATATACACTGAAGCCACTGTGAGCAACAGTGTTCCCATTTTGAAGACTTCTAGATGGTAAGCTGGAACACAGTGTTTTAGAACAGATTCTTACAGTGTAGCAGTCTTACCTTCACATAATCGTAGTTGCAGCTTCCCCATCCTGATGCTGCCTCCAGAGCAAACTTAGTGAAGGTGAGGTTGATGAGTTTGTTTTCAGGTGCAATTATGTACCATATGCAGTTCAGACCTTTGTCATAGAATCCATTTGAGTCAGAATCAGGAGAGACAAAGGAATTGTTGTCATCTGTCAGGTATCCACCACATCCATTCTGTGGTCCTGTGGAAACAAAGATGCATCAGACGAACAAAAAGATCTTAACTTCATGGGGAAGGCTTTTGAAAGGGGGAGATTACACTTTCTACCATGTATTTGTGAACAATAAGGTTTCCAAGCATTGGCAGGAATGCACATGCGTTTCTCAGCTTTTCTTGGCTCCTTGCTTATTGTGGTAATTTGATGAGAATGGACTAAACCTCTGGAAATACAAGCCCCCCCCCCAGTTAAATGCTTTTCCTATATAAGAGTTGCGGTGGTCATGGTGTCTCTTCACAGCAAAAGAAACCATAACTAAAACACTTACTCTTTTTATTCCCATAACCCGCAGGAGTTGCCTCCTTTTCAGCATGCATAGTTATCTGAGAGCAAGTCACCACATTAAGGTACATGCATGTGCCTCTCTGAAACTATTCATGTGATTTATTCAAGCTTTTCCCAACCTTGAAATACTCAATTTTCTGAAAATTGAGTATTTTGCATAACAAAACTGGTGGAAAATGTGCACATGCCTGACTCTTATGTTCTACTTTTGCGAACACTGCCAAAACTAAAAATTGAATTTATGAAGATTTACCTCTAAGAAAATTGTCTCCCAACCCATTTTTCATTTAAGTAGTCTGACAGAAAGAGGTTGTTAGCTCTGTAGTCTAGTTTACATTAAACTACATTCTCTGTATTTTTTCACTTTTCCAAAACCAAGTCATGAGGAGACAGACTGGAGAACAAAAGAACTTCATAAAAAAAAAAGAACTTCATTAGAGAAAAGTGTACATTTAAATTCAACAATTAGTAATACATAACCAAATTACAGGACACAGAGTACTCTAATGATGCCTGCATGTCTACCCGGGGAAAAGGTAGAAGCTAAGTCCTCTAGTATACAGGTCAAATTGAATCTGAAACATAAGCACGGCACATAGCCACACTGTGTACTGCTGGTGGATCAGCTCATGAAACACGCCTGCAGAACGCAGAGAGACCTGGGCCTTGAATAGCTTTTACCCTGCTGTGGGCTGTTACATAAAGAAACCAATTAAGTAAACTTCTTGGCCTGCATAGCAGGAAGCAACAATTACATTATTAAAGAGATGGAAAATATATGTTTATTTAATATTTCCTCCAAGGAAGTACACTTAGGATTGAAATCCATAGAAATAACATATGAATAATTATAATACTGTGAAGAGAATTAGATGCCCTAAAAGGGAAAGGAAAAAATTAATTTTGCAAGAAGTCATCAACTAGCTGCTATGAGGCTATATAATGCTCCAGTAACATATTCAACTCGGGCCTTAAGCATGCATAGAATAAGAACATGTAGAAATAGGGTTGAGATCATCTAGTCTAGGCTGAAAGAAGCTCCTCGTCCAATGTTAAACAAAAAGTATGTGTAGGAAGGCACAATTCTGTTCTGAAAAACCACGAAGCAAATGAAGGGACATAACAAGGCTCAAGACTAGGGCATGAAAAGCCTTTGATTTTATCCTATGGATGGTGGGGATCCACTTGAAAGCCTTTTTTGGTAAGATTTATTTTTATTCTTATTTATTATAGATGTGAGTGAGAGTTGCATATGTGTGAGTGCCTGTCAAGGCCAGAGGATTGCATAGTTGTATGTCTTGGAGCTGAAGATACAGGCTCTGTGTACCACCACCCTCTGTGGGTGCTGTGGATGAGCTTGAATCCTCTAGATAAGTAATAACAACTAAACGACAGCTCTTTGAAAGGCTTTTTGATCAGAGAAGTAGCGGTATCACTTAATCTGGAATTGTGTCTGGCAGTAGCATATCACGTGTAAGGAGAAGTTGACCAGAGGAGGTGACGCCAGCTCTGAGACCACTGCTACAGCGGACAATCGGCAAGAGACAGTGAAGCCTTGGAATTGAGTGTACATTACTCCTAATATATCAGCTTCAAAAATGAGATGTTAAAGAACGATGAGATGACTCTTCTCACAGTGAATGGCATTATGCACACTTACTACTCAACAGCAGCAATACCACTACTAATAAAAGTAATGCCATAAGGTAGGTATTCCTGGAATGGAGATGGGCAAGTGACTCTGCACACCCATAAGTCATCAAAATAAATGTTTTAGTTATAAGTAACTGGCATCTGGATGGCTGGCTACACAGTGTCACTGTGGCAATAGCACACATACACATGCGCACGCGTACACACACACACACACACACACACAGTGAGAGAGACAGAGAGACAGAGAGAGAGACAGAAAACTTCTTTGAGTTATCAAACTACTATAGAGAACAGAATTCATAAAACACAGAGAACAAATAAGATGAGAAGCTAACATTGCTTAATATTAAACAATATTATCAGATAACCCTGGTCAAAATAGCCAAGTAATTTAAAGAAAAAATGATATTATATGAGTGGATAGAAGTTTGTAGTGTTTTGGAAATGCTAATTGTAGATAATGCCCCATTTTTACAGTGCAACTTTTCCACATTTCATTTCCTCCTAAGGTTGATGGAAACTCAAATGTGCATGTCTTGGAGGCGAGCAACCAGTAATCTTAACAAAATGAGGATGCAATGTCAGAAAGTGCTATAGTCACATTGCTGTGCCCAAATATCTACAGTCACAGGACATAATAAGATCTGTGACTGTGGAAGAGTCCCATATATTAAAATATCTCTATTTTCTGTACTGGTATTTAGAAGTTCCTTTTCTTCTGATAAAGACATCACAACATTGCTCTGCTTCAACATCACAAATCCATCATCTTTTCCGTTACCACATATGGTTCCACCGTTTAGAAAGTGCTTATCCACCAGCACCTACTTTAACAGTCACACTCTGTCAGAGCCACTTTGATGACCTGTACCCAAGAACAAATGTCACTGTAGCAGTCTATGGTAAATTGGAAACATTTAACTCAAATGAGCGATTTCTCCAGAGAAAGAAAGTGTTTGGGGTGGAGGACCCTGCTGGAGACATAAACGCACATTCAGCAGGGAGATTTCCAGCCAGATCTACTTAATTAACTCAGTAACTGAACCCTGAATGATTAAACTTCAGGGTGAAGCACAAGGCAGCATCTGTTTGATAAGAGAAAAAATAGCTGCCCTATCTAGGAGAAACATCTTAAGAGGCTTCAGTGGAGGGAGACAACTTATCACAAAGTTATTGTGAGGACTGACACTTTTGTGACTGGCACTTTCCTGAGGTCTTTAGGATGCTATCTCTCTGTCTCTGGACTCTTGCTGTTCTCGAGGTTAGTGACCAGCTGCATTTCAGAGAATGATCACCCTGCCTTTAGCATATCCCTGCTGCCTGGTACCCTTTGTGGCTGGAGGTGGCAGTCAAAAGCACTGGAAGCATGACACAAATGCATCTGAAAATCGGTGCCCTAGTAAGACAGAGCACGCCATGGTGGCTTCTCTTCAACAACTCAGGCTTGAGCTTCACAATCCTAGTTTGGAGTTAAAGCTCAGTGTGACTTACACAGCTGCAGTATCAACTGATCCAGGGTTGTGAACTCACTTGAGAATTCAACGTGGTTTCTGAAGAACCTACTGTGCCTAGGAGGGATTTCATAGAATATAATACAACTAACTCCATGATAAAAACTCTCAGAAAACTCGGAATAGAAGGAGAGTTTCCCAATTTGATAAAGAGTAGCTGCACAACTTATAGCTATTAGCAAATTTTTTAAAAAATTGTGTGTGTGTGTGTGTGTGTGTGTGTGTGATGATTCACACCTGTGAAGACCAGCAACTAATGGCCAATGTTTTTCACAATTGTTCTCCATATTATATCTTGAGATAGAGCCTCTCACTGTGCCTGGAGCTCACTGATTCAGCTGTAGACTTAGAGCCATATAAAAAGGGGTTTGGTGGGGAAAATGAAGCCATCTGTTCTTGTTCACTCTACGCATCAAGATAAACTTGTGTGGGCTGTTATGTTCTTTGGTCTGCAGGGGCCACACCAGGGAAGCAAAGCAACAGATGAGTAATGTAATCTGTAAGGTAAGAGCTAAAGTAAATAACAGATCATTTGTGTAACAACACAAAGGGAAGAGGGATAAAAGGTAGAGTCCAGGACATATTAATAAGCACACTCCCTTTTTAAAGGGGATATGATTTTGCTGACTACTAACAATTATATAAGCAGAAGTTTTAAAAAGGAAAACATTCTGTTTAAAGAAAATCAAAGTCAATAGTCATGCATTACTTGGATGTCTTAAAATTGATGATGATATGAGGTGAAATTTACAAAATAAAATCCTACAACCAATAGTTTATAATAATAATTTAAATAAGGAAATGGAGTTTTTGTTTTCATTAATGTGTTATCTCATACTAAATATTTAGCTGATATTTTTAAACTTTCATTACCCTGGTGTCATACTACTTGACGGTGACACAGATCCATTCCCCTCCTCTTGGAACTTGCTAAGTGACCTTGACAAGTCATTTAATTCCCTTGTGACTTAGTTCCCCCACTTTTAAACACAACTATTTGACAGTTGTATCAACCAGAGTTATACCAACAGAATAAAATATCTAAATCCCTTCATTTTTTTCAGAACCCTAGGATAAAAAAATCACAAAATTGGAGCCCATAATTTGGGGCTACTAATTTTGTCATACAGATTTATTATCACTTATTACAATATAGATAGACTCCCTATATATCTGTGCTTAACTGTGTTTGGGCCTCACCTTTATGTCATGCAAAGCCAGGATGACAGATGTGACATTTTTCTATCAACACCAAGATGGTTGTTTTTACCATATATATTCATATCTATGAAATACATATACTTGCTATATTTACAATTATGTAAGCTGCATAAATTATATTCAAAGTATAATTTTATTAATATAAATGTTAAATAAGTCATATGTATTTAGATATCACATATTTAACATATTATATAACATGTGACTATGAATAGAAATATATAAAGGTTATATACTATTTATGTTCCAAATACACCATATACAAATATGTAACTATTTTATGTGGTAGCATTATGTAGCAATAATAAAAAATGAATGTACTATTCAGGACTGGCATCTTATGATTTAAAAACAGAATGAAATGAAAAGATGAACATAGCTTGGTTTCTAAAAGCCATCTATCTGCCCTATTTGCTCAAGGACAGACAATCCTATCCTTCCAGACTTAGGGCAAATGTAGTCATTCGGAGGCAGGGAGAAAGAATAATGGATGTAGATGATACTGGGATATGTTTATTAAAACCTTTGCCTTGCTTTATCTAATATTTAACTCCTCTCCTACATGATTCTGTAAGGTTTTGATGAACTCTGCACTAGCTGCTTTCTTTATCCCAATCACACATTCTAAGACATGCAAATGCAAATACTCTTTTCAGTGAGTTCCCAAAGAATAAGCAGCAGATACCCTTGTGTTTAGCTTTATCCTCAGGGGACAGTTAATCAACAGTGAAAACAAGCAGGTTTGCAAGGGGTTAGTCTAGCTTTCTTTAAATCGGTTTACAGTTTCAGCTCATCTCACTCTCAGGCTTTGTAAAAGGAAGCAAATGACATTAAAAACCCAGACATCCCCTGGCTGCTTTCAAGTCATAACCCACCCTTGATTCCCTGAGAGTTATGTGAGTAGTGATTTATCAAATTATTCAACTGATAACCCAGCTATCTGACTGCACTTGTCTTCTGGAAGTCAGGGCAGTTGGCAGCCTGTCTCCAGCAGCTCAGGGGTGCCTACACACACACACACACACACACACACACACACACACACACACACACACACACACACACACACACACTTTTAATGTCAGTGAATATTTGAAAGTGCATTCTTTTATTGTCACGCTACACAATTTCGGAGTGCCTCTCTGAGTTTAAACTTGACACCACAACTGGGAAGGCTAAATATAACTAGAAGTGGAATTCTCAAGTGGGCATGTGAGAGTCTCCTCCATTTGCTGAGACCATGATCATCATTTCTGTGGCCCCAGGCTCTCTGCAACCTCTGGTTTTCATTTCCCCTTTGGAAGTCAACCATTTTTTATCTTCCCACTTTATTTCCACCCCTTCCATTGTCTGCACTTTTGGCACATTTGAGAGATGTTTCCCAAGAATATGATAACAGATCCAGAGACAAAGCTCATGCAATCCAATATTGAATCAGATCTAGTATCTCCTGAACTGGAATAAAGGGATTCCATTCTCTTCCCTGTAAAATAACTTCACTCTATGAGTGGTGAATCAATTGTGAGAATAAATAGGTATAATATATAATATTACATAATATATAATATCAGATACATATAAATGTAATTTCAAAGTAGGCATAATTTACCTATTATTCTTCAATTCATTTACACAGTCACTATTGATGGAGTAACGTTTATTTATATCAGAGGCCTCTACAAGCCTTAGGATTTAATTAGAATTTAAGTTCTGATTTGACTTAAGTTATAAAACATATTTTAGGACAGCTATGGTATAGTCCAGGAACTAATCTACGTTATTTCTAATAGATTCTTAAGGGATAGAAAGTGGTAATATTTCAAGCTGATCTTCGTTGGTGGATAAAAACTGAGCATAGAGAGGATAGGGTTTCTCCAAAGCTCCATCACAGGCAGTGGTATGATGAGTCACCTGCATCCTGGGTACCTGAATCCTGCCTGGCACACAACTCTTTCCCTTTGGCCACACCCCTGCCTTTTTTGACCTGTGATTCATTCTGTCCTGGCCAGACATGTGTTTTGTATTCATTCTTTTCTCTCACAGCAGTCCCTGAGTCCCTTAATGCTGCCTGACTCACCCCCACGTGACTAAGGAGCCAGGTGAAGGAAGACAGATAGGGAGTGGTCTCCATCCTCGACATATTTCCTATGACCAGCAGGAGGCAGGAAGCTTAAACATGTGATTCTGGTCATTGAGGTCCCTGATGTAGTTTTTTTTTTTTTTCTCCAGGGACAGGCATTTCTCTCTCTGGACATCAGGGAGTCCTAATTGTCTCTGGGGCTATTCATTGATCCCTATGCCCCAAAACCTTTTTGGGCCAAGTTTAGTATTGTGCATTTAGTAAAGTACATTTAGGGGTAAAAGTGAGAGCTAGGATGACAGCTGAGTATATAAAAGTATATACTCGGGAAAAGAGAGAGGAAAAATGAAATGACGATGGTACCAAATGTGCACACCTAGCTCTGTATCTGGAAGATCTGTGTGTAACATAATGAGCAGTCATGAAAGACTCTGTGTCAGTTCTGTCCTGTGGAGCAGACACGCATCAGCCAAGCTCACAGAAAGGGTGGGATTTCAGAGCCATTGGTGGTCTGATAAAAGATGAGTACTTGGTCCAGAAAAATGCTCATCTTTTTGGATAGTTTCATTTTCCTGGGTCCGGGAGCTCAGTGCAATCATTTCTCTGACTCCCTTCTTTCACTTCAGTTACCCATGTTGTAGTGACACTCATGGGAAATGTGAGAAAGTTTATGTCATGGTTGATGCCAGCTCCTGGCGTTTGCTTTGCCTTCATCTACCCCCAGTTGAACAACAACTCCACAGAAGAAAGGAGACTCAATTTCACCATCTATTTACTAATTACCCACGAAGGGTAGTTCCGCCAGATTCCCTCAATCGACAAGAAATACAAAAGTAGCAAATACACAGGCAGATGCTGCACTGTAAGTAAATAAGCTGATTTTACTGAATTTTGGAAAATTAAAGCAGATATGCATAAATTATCAACTGCATAATCTAAACAGTAAAAATGCAAAATATGTACTTAGGGATCTAGTTGAGATAAAATTAAACAGAAAATTCAAGGGCTACAGTGGTCTCCTCGTTACATAAGTTATTTACCCAGAGAAGGGGTTGTTTTCCAGGCAGATCAATAGCCTTGGAAATAAGCAGTCAGTCTGATCCAGAGAGTAGCTGTCTTCTTACAGAAAAGATGGGGTGTTTTAAATGGATGAGGTGAAAAAAAATTAAATGAGCCGGGTGGTGGTGGTGCATGCCTTTAATCCCAGCACTGGAGAGGCAGAGGCAGGCAGATCTCTGTGAGTTCGAGACCAGCCTGGTCTACAAGAGCTAGTTCCAGGACAGTCTTAAAAGCCACAGAGAAACCCTGTCTCCTGTTTCAAAAAACAAACAAACAAATAAAACAAGAAAAACCTTCCCTCCAGGAAAGTGTTAATGGGGCTGCAGAGATGGCTCCATAGTCAAGATCTCATGCTGTTCAGTCACAAGAACCTGAGACACAGAGTTTGGATACCAACACCCACATGGTGCAGCTCACAGATACCCATATCTGCAGCTCCAAGTACCTTTGTGTGGCCTCTGAGAATATCAGAACACACATGTGCACATATACTCATGCAGACACATGCACATAGGCACACATATAAATAAATAAAATAATTTTTAAAAATAAATTCATAAAAACATGACATAGAAAATGTAGTTTAAGGTATTCTCTGTTTTCGTGTCATAGAGTTGGAGGTGAATCAGACCATGGGCAAAGAGAAAACCTGGGAAAGTCCTGTCTTTCTGAATCTTCTTAGAGAATGGGATATGTTTGAAGACCTGTTAGATCTCAGAACATTAGTCACAGCAATATTCAAGGAAAAATCAAAATACTTCCCAGAGTCAAATAAAAATTACACCACTTACACAATTAGTATAACAAGAGAGCTGATTATTTTAAATGACTGGCATTCCTGTGCTCACATAGACAGATAATAATTATCTTTCATGTGCAGTGGCAATAAACTGGGCTGTTGGTTTCACTTTATCCTCCTACTTAGCCATCCTGCCATCTCACAATGACTCTGAGACCACCCTATCTGGGCCAAATGTCTTTTCAACCATCTCTTAGATATCTCTACTTATGTACTTGACAGGCCCATCAGCTCCAAATCTGGCAAACTAAATACAGTGTTCTTCCTGCACTAAGAATACACTTAGGCAGCACCTGATGTTACAAAGGTGACATCATCCAACAACTTGCCCTTAAGGCCACATCTTCAACTTGCATTCCCTTGTAATGTCTCAGCATGCTCCAAATGCTACTTTTCTGATGTATTTGGCCTTCTAAAGACCTTTGGTACTTCAATCCTTTCTTTATTTCCATTCCCACTTGTGCTAGTTAGAGCATTGGCCATCTGGGCTTCTAGCCTAAGTTCCTCTTTCCTTCCTGAGATTGTTGGGCTATTAAAGCATTCCTTTTTTACAGTCATAAAATCATTACATACATTCTCAAGACTCTTCACCACTCTAGGAATGAAGCGACCACAGTCAATGAGCCTTCCTCTGTTTAAATAAAAATCATCTGGGATTAGCTGGGGGAGGGGATTAAATAAAGCAGAAAAGTAGGAATAACAAGAAAAAGAGTTTCTTGTCTCAAATGCTCACCTAATGTCTCCCAGAAATGTAATTCCCAACCTCTTGCGGTTTGAGAAGAATCTGTCTTGAACAGCAGGGTCAAGCTGTTATTGGTGCTCTTAAGATTTTGTGGAATACTGGAACCACAGAAAGTTCCAAGAGGCCGACTTCCGATGCTAGGACCATCGAAAACTTTCAGGTGGTCATTGTTGCAAAGGGAGGAGGGAGCCACGTCGAAATTACTGAACCTGTAAAATACATCTGGTTATTACTTATGCCCTCTTTGGTATTCCCATAAAAGTGTACCAGTAGTTCTTATAAAATTAAAATGAGAACCTGCAGTCCTTATAAAGCAAAAGACTGACAACGCAGTATTCAAGCTTCACTTGGAAAGAAATCTTATAAGCGAGACATTACTAATGTATTCAAACGTGAAGCCAATATTTGCTGGGTAACTGTAATATACTAATAACTGTGATAGGAGCTGGGGATGTAAAGATGAATAAAATATAGTTCTACATTTCAAGACAGTCTAGGCCTAAGTTCAAATGAGGTCATTTTTTAGATAATTTTTTATTCTTCCACAATTCCATGCACACATAACATAGTTTGATCTTCTCTCCCCCACCCACCTGTCTCGTTCTGAACCCCTCCTGTTTCCAGCAATCATGTCACTATGTTCACATCTTTTTTTGCTGTGTTCTATAGCATTTCACCAGAGTTGTTTGCCTAAGTATGGGTGGGGGTTCCTTCTTGAACAAGACAACTTACTGGTGGCTACACCTTCAAGAAGCATGACTCCTTCCAGCATTTCTTACCATTACCCGCCTATAGCTCCTAAGAATGAGTACTGACAAGTTGGCCTATGCTATCACCCCAATAACATGCTAGGTGTTTTTTTAATCTCACCTAAAATATTGCTGTCTTATTTTTATTTATATAAAGAATGCTAAGACAAATAGAAGAAATTCTGGTTTATATAGCTGGATTGTGGTTCGTTAAGTCTCTTGTTTCCTTCTTTTAAAATGAAATTTATAGAAACACCAAAGGCAACAATATGATACAGCCAAATTGCTGCATCTGATATACAGCGTGTCCTCAGAACAATTAAGTTATGGTTTTATAAAATAACAATATGGAGTAATTTTGATTCTTATAAAAAATGAAGTGGTGATAACAAGGAATGAACTATATTCTGTTGCGCCATTGAACTGATCTAAAGAAAAAAGTTCATACATTGATCCCTGGATTGATGACTGGAGGCTCCTGACACAGCCCCTGCCCTGCCTTCCTAGCACTGGGTTGGGATAACTGAATGTGCACACACCGAAGCCTGGTGTGGACACAGGACCTGCCCTGGCTACAGAAATGCCAGCGGAGAGTAAGGCACTACTTGTTTTAACATACAGCCTTTCTGCTGCAGTGAGGACCACAGGAGCAAACACAAGAGTGAAGCTCCCACCTGCCCTGGCCACTGAGTGAGCACAGTTGGCCAAGGGTCTTCTCAGGTACCACAGAGAAGTAAAGTGCTAAACCGCATGCCTCGGGCTGCTTTCCACCACGTCCAGCCTTCCCTACAAATTCATCCTGTCTTTTCCTGTGATAGCCTTACTTGATATTGTATTCCAGGCCTGTGCTCTGCCACGTTTGTTTGTCTGTCTGTTTGTTTGAGACAGGGTCCTGGGACTTGTAGTGTAGACTAAGCTGAACTTGAATTCACAGAAATTAGCCTCCTCTGCCTCCCAAGTGCTTTAAGTAACTATTCCTAGATACCCTCAAAAAGAAGACCCCATATGTACTTTTATCTTGGAACCATATGGTAGGTTTGGTTCTACTCAATAATTTTTACTAGGAGACTTAATGAACAGTATGGCAATATGGAATAATTATGAAAAAGCAAATAGCTAAACATTTCCTTTTTATGAGCACTAAAATAACCCTGAGTCGTACCCTAAAAGATTTTGGCTAGTTAGATGAATGTTTTCAAACTAATGATGAAGATCCAGGCAAAATAAATTCTTGATCCCTTGCATCAAATCTAACATTTGCTGTTATCTTTGAAGATTATTATGGCAAAATAATAGGAAGATGCTGTCCAATGACATTTTTTATTTATTTTTAATTGTTATTTTTGACAGATTTGATTTTATTAGGTAGAGACAACATATTTATTTATTTTTTTACAGAAGAAGAATCTAAAAAGAATGACAAGAATCTGAGTTTTCAGGGGGCACTCAAATCTGTTTTGACTCCCCCCCCAAAAGCATGGAAAATTCTTAGAAAAGCCCACTTCCCCATGTGTGTCCAGCCCATTTTCAGAGCCGACGTAGAAGGCTTTGCTTTACTAGTATGTCCCTCTTCACAATCCATGTAACACTATCTGTTTCATAGAATTAAGGTACACTGTAAATAATTTGTCAAAAATGCATGTGACTATGGATCTCCAGGGTCAGGCTGAAAATGGAAACATGTATGTACATTTTACATACATATTATGTCTCTGTCAATGATTATCTGGATGTTTCTCTCCAAATTTCTATGCTGAAATCTTAACTCTGAGTTGACAGTGTTATAAAGTAAGGGCTCCTGGAGGTGACTGGGTTATTCGAGAGCAATCTTTGAGAATGGAATGATGTTCTTATGAATGAGCTCTGAGAATGGCCTCCCATCCTCTACCACTGAAAGACAAATCTGGCACAGCTAGGAGGGGCTTCCTTCTATGAATCAGAAAGTGGATGGTCATGTGATGCTGAAACTGTCTATCTTGAGCCTCCCAGACTCTAAAACAATGAGAATTTTTGTTGTGCCATTTATCTCATGCCATGTTGGTACAGCAGCCTGCACATTCCTATACATGTAAGAAACAAACACTACCACATGCTGTGCCTATACTTCCATTCTGGGATGGGTTCTTTCTTTGGCCTCTTCCTCCTACTAGTCTGGTAGATTTTGTTCTTTTAATCCTAAAACTTACAGGAGCACATTTTCTTCACAAATAGTCTCAGGAGGGATTGGCATGCTGTTTCTTCTTGTGGAGCTAAACCAGTTTGATGAGTCCTGCTTTATACTTCATGGACCCAACGGACATACAAAATGCTGAATGTAAACTTCAGAGTGCATAATCATCGGGGGAGAAGCTATCATTGACAAATAGGGGACGGACGAGTAGCCATTGTCCCAGCTTCTCAAGTTCTATGTGGAAAACTCTATACTGCCCACCAACCAGCCTTTGAGATTTCCTATTACATGCTGAACATTTTAGGTATCAGTGAAATTAAAGAGATGGAAATAAACCATCTTAGGAGAAAGAAAACTAGCATGCTATCCCTTTGGACAATGGAGGCTGCATTCTCTTTACCAGTTTTACTTGGAATAAGTAGAATTAGAGAAATAATTTACTAGTGACAAAATATATGTCACATAAGGCAACAATTTAGAGTTACTTTGATTCATAAATAAAAATAAACTTTGTGGAATAAAGTTTTATCTTCAAGAGACAAAGGGTGGTAAAATTACTCAGGACATGGGTCTAGAAGTATACCTGATGTGGGTTCAGATTTTCACTCTTCATTTAAATATGTGTTACTTTGAGGAAGCTGTGTGACCTTTTCCTGACACATATACAAGTATGCTTACATATTTCTCATGACTGTTTTAACAGAACAATAAAATATCTGAGGAAAGAGTTGAACAATGCTTCTTGTGTATAATAAATGTTGAACAAATGGCAACTTTTTTCCTAGTCCTTTGTATCCTCTTTGATGGTAAGGAGGGCTGGTAGCTTGACAGCTGTTATACAAAGCTCTTAAATCTGTTGAGAATTTACAAGGACTGTTTTAACTGGTCAAGCTAACATTTCAATCTCAATCCCCTGGATTGGGTGGAGGAGTAGAAGGCCAGCTGGTTGGCTTTCCTGCCATATGGAACCCCTTTACCTTTCTCTAGATTCCAGCCAGGTCACTGTGAGAACTCATACTTGCCATAAGTGAGGTAGCTTTCCTGTGATCAGAGCTGAAAACATTTTCTTAAGGCAATGTGTCTTACATACCTAAGCAGAATCACTCTGTTGCTTCTTACAGAGATGCTGTAGACACAGTAGACATTGTTGGGGTAGCTGGTGGATGAGTCTGAAGGACTCCTAATGAGCCCAGTGGATTTATTGTAGATTCCACCACAGGCTGTAACAGAAGACAAGCAAATGTGCATATAATGATTATTATTCATAACATGGGCAAATATTTTGGGGGAATAGTCTAAGCTATTGTTTACTAGAACAGTAAGAGTTCATATTGATTGTTCTTTAGATGACCTACACCTCCTTCACTGTGTTTATGAATCATTTCGAGTTTCCCATGCAGGAGAAAAAAGAGAGAAATGTAGTAGAAGAATATTTTAAGCACATTTTGGAGGGGAAGAAGTCTAAGGGGAAAAAACAGAATTAAAGCACTAAGAACAAACACTTTATATGTTGGGCATGTCTGTCCCTTCACTCTAAATGATAGGTTGACAGAGTGATGGCATGGCAACAGGATTCTCAGATAAGGCAGGGGAGAATTCCATGTGTGCTCTGTTCATAGAGGAAGACTGCAATGTAGAAACCCGAGTCAGCACAGGTCCTCTCTGGTAGGGATATAATGTCATATGTGAAATGTTAGAAGTCAGTTAAAGGTCAAATGCCACACTCTTAGGTTCTACAGATTAGTATTTAGTTGTTAGATTAGTAAAGCTTATACTTGCTCAAATTTGTGTTATTTGTATTCAATAAACACGAGGATATTTGTCCCACTCCCTGCTCTAACTCCAGCCGTTAACAGCCCATAGCCCTTTGTTATACCAAGCAGTCAACAATATAATCATCACAAAACATATTATAACTAATAAGGTATCATTTTTCCATGGATTGTACCTAGCAAGGATCAGATGTTCCCACATGATAACATATTCACATGAGCGTGTTTATTTGTTTTATAATTCTAACATTATACAAAGCTTGTAAGTTTTGGTGATGTTTCTTTAGTTACCAATGAACACTCTCCACTAACATATCACCAAGATTAGATACAATCTGTGGCTGTTATTTAGGGCTTTTGTATGTTTGGTTTTGTCTCAAATCTGCCCATTAGCAGGGCAGATTCTTTCCTGTGCCAAAAGGCGTTGGTGGCACATGCCTTTAATCCCAGCACTTGGAAAGCAGAGGCAGGCGGATCTCTGTGAATTTGAAGTCAGCCTGGTCTACAGAGCGAGTTCCAGGACAGGCTCCAAAGCTACAGAGAAACCCTGTCTCAAAAAAAAGTCTTCATACATTCAAACCTCTGAACATAGCAGTCATAAATTAAATGTCACATGGGTAGAAGCTGCTTTATTTCACTCATTGTCAATTACACAATCTCTGAAAACTTATCAGTGACTGAACAACTTCTCCACATGCTACCAGGATTTGAAGCCAGTAGCAGCAACATTTTTTAAGTGACACTGAAAGGGGGATTGAACCGTGCTCACTAACTATACTTTAGGAAAAGAAGGGGTAAATGAGTATAAGAGTAGACATCAGGGGCTTAATTCTCCAAAGCAGTAGTTAAGAATAGAACAAATCCCCTTCCTCTTTATCCAGACCATGAGGGAATATGTTTTCTATTTTATTGATGCAATCAGGCCTAGGAAATATCACAGAATCACGCTTTCTGGTTGCCAAGGGTCAGGAGCCAGACATCAGTGACAGAGAACAAACCATGAGATTCTTTCCATGTGTAAATACATGTTTTGGTGTTCTCTGTAGATGGGTAGATTACTTTATTTGAAGAGAAACTATTTTATTTCCTACCATTAGCTATTCAGGTGACAGGTGACCACGCAAAGAAAAGCAGATCCAGGAACAGTTTTGTGTTTTGTGAAATGGCTGTGCTGGATAACACATTGTTACAAAATAAACCTCAATATTCTGTTTTATTTTCAGATGGGGAAGTGTCTATTTTAATAATATGCATATATGTGTGTGCCTTCATGTCTGTATGTGCATTACATGTAGACAGTGCCCACAGAGTCCAGAAGAGGGCATTGTGAGCTGCCATGTGAGTACTGGGAACCAAACCTTGCTTGAAAGAGCAGCAAGAGCTTTACCCACAGAGCCATCCCTACAGTCCCCAGTGGTTTGTTTTTAAGGAAAAATAACTACCTTTGTATCATGTACCTAATTGATCATTTTTCCCTTAATGTCTCTGAATCTTTAAGTTGGTGACATATGATGAATCATAACAAAATCTTCTAATGTGAATTATACAAGAAAACAATTCCAAATGACATCAGTATAGTTACTCACTGGTGACTCTGTAGGAAATCTTGAATCCAAAGTCTGTGGCATATGCGTTAGAATAGAAGTTAAGCAACACTGGGCCATTCACAGTGAGAGGATGTAAGGCTTCAGAACCACATATGGTCGCAAGAGGAGTGGAAGACAGGTTGTGACCTTTGATGATGTGCAAACCATCATGATCACAGTTTCCAGTGATGGCTGAGCGATCTACACAGAGCACAGAATGACCAACATCAGAGCAGAAATGCTGTAGACACATGATGTTATAAACAGATAAAACACTACAGGTCTGTAATTGATTCAGAAAGTACAATCAATATTAAGAGATAGTTTTCTATATCAATATGTAACTTTAGTTCCAAATGAAATAATAGTATCCAACAGACAAAACCTGGACAGAAAAGAGAAAGCATATAGAACTCCATAATAAGTAAATTCAGTTGTTACTCAGAATTTCCTTCCCATATAGAATCATTCTATTTATCTAGGGATTATAAACCAGAGGCAACTTGCCTCCAAGGGGAGGTGTGGTGTCTGAAGACATTTTTGCCACAACATTGGAGAATGAGATAGAAGCCAGAGAAGCTGTTAAACAGGTTTTAATACACTGGGACCATTCCCATACTCTGAGCCCTCTTACCACAAAAACAAAATATAAACTAACAAAAACACCCCCCCCCAAAAAACCCATGCAGCTCACAATGTCACTAGTGCTGCTCTTAAGAAAAACTTTACATAGAGTGCCCATGAGCAGACCCATGAGAAATTCCTTGATGTTTGCTGACAGCCCTTTCCAATGTTCACGAAAACATCAATTTCAGGGCTTTGGTGATTGTAAATTTGCCTCAACACTGTCTTTTAATTTAAAGCAAAAGGGGTGCTTGATCTCCTCCCTTCCTGCAAGACAGCATAAAGCAACTTTCAAAGCATTAAGGGAATGTTTGCTGCTGCTGTGTACTTGTGTTTGTAGGTGAGTGCTGCTCTCCAAATGTCATGGGAGCACTCTTTCTGTGACCTGAGTTTTAATAACATGAAACAGCATCATATGTAAGTATGTAGTCCTCTAAGACATTTTACCAATGGATACATTAAGTTCTAATGTAAAAGTTATCAACCCATGCTCAATAAAACCCTTATGATCAATAAATTGTTTTAACCTTCTTATGACTCTAGTGACTAAACTCATTGTAAAAAATACATCCTTATGCATAAATATGTGAATAGTTCATTTCATTAGAACACTATTTTAGAGTTTGAACTATCAGAACTAAGACAGGAATGTCTTCCAGGTTTCTCCAAAGGCTCTTTGGCAAGGTGTTCCCAGCTGACACTCCCACAGTACTTTAAGGATGTGACAGTCTTCCCAATTCTACATTCTGACCACACTACAGAGGGACCAGTGTCCAATGACACTCAATGCTTATCTCTTCTGCTCTTTGTATTACAGTCCTAGTCCCACAAGACTGCTTCCTTTGTGTATTATTTCTTTATTCTGAACTTTTCACACAACAGAATCATGGGATGTAATCTTTTGTGTTAGGTTTGTTTTATTTAGTCAACCACATTGACTATAGAAATACCTTTAGTTAGCAAAAATGTGTAAGATTATTAAGTTGCACAATACAGGGAAACATTACCAATGCTGGATTTGATTCTTGATCCCACATTAGTTCAATGTGCCTACTGTGCATGTATTCTTTCAGATTTGAAGATGCAGAAGCATCTTGACAGAATTACAAATTAATTGCTGTCTGTAAATATATGATTTATGAGAAATGATAATCATGACCAAGTGTAGGTGAAAACACCTCTCCACTTGAAGAGTTTTCTATTCTTGTCTTCAAAAATATCTAGCGTAAACCAACCTTACTGTTTATCTACCAACAGCCCTTACTCTAGAATTGGAAATGAGCAGAGCATGTGCTTAGGAACCCTCCCACTGAGGAATCAGAAGTCAGGAGGTGAAGATCACAGAACTTAGATGAAGGGATACCTCATGGTGCTATTTCATAGAAGCAGAGCTGACTCTAATCTTCCCTACCTACTCATTCATTCAATATTGATTGAGTGCCTATTCTGACTCAATTGCTTCTCTCACTGGATCATTTTCAGTGGATGTCTGATTGTAGATTTGCATGTTTAAATGCATGTGTGTAGAGCATACCTTAAAATGAATAAATTAAAAGCTATGAGCCTGACATAATGGCATAGACCTGAAAATTCCAGCTACTTGGGAGTCTGAGGCATATTGCAAGTTTGAGGCCATTAAGTCTATAGAGCAAATTCATGGCCATTTGATTATCTAGACTTTATCTCAAAACAAAAAGTGAAGTAGGCCTGGAGACTTAGCTCAGAGGTAGATCACTTGACAAACTTGGAATATATCCTTCAGTTTAATCCTCTATGTTGGTAAAAAAAAATAGAAAATAGATGCTATGTAAAATATAACAGGCTCCAGATGCATTTTGTTTAAGCAAATTTATGTGGTGCCTGTGTCTTTAAAGTTATTATTTTATCTTTTCAATTCTGGATGGATTATATAAAATGGTCCTTTTGCTCTATACAAACCAGAAAGAAGCCAGGCCTATGACCTCAGCTTATCTGAAGACTGAAGCAGGAGTTATAGGCCTGCTTGATTTGCATATGAGTTCAAGATCAGCTTGGGCAGTTTAGTGAGATCCTGTTTTCAAACAAGAAGTAATGGGTGTGATCGCAGCTTAGTTGTAGGTGTTTGCTGCTCCTGATCAAAGTTCAGTCCTCAGTATGGAAATAAAAAAGATTTTTATTTGTAATTTTATTTGCATTTATATTTCCATTCAGAACATGGTTATTATTGTCTTCAAGTGGTGGTTTTAGAACACTCTGCCTACATGTCTCTCATTAATGGCTTAACTATTTTTTGTTTGCTTGAAATAAATTGAATCTTTGGCTATTATCAAAAGACAAGAGATGAGTGATGGTGAGTATGTGGGTATTTAGAGTGGTGAAGCCATTATGAGAAAGAGGGCCCTCAAAAAGTTAAAAATAGGCCTATACTATTCAGCAATTCCAATCCTGGGCACACACCCAGAGGAAATGAAGTCAGTGTGGTAAAAACCAATCTATTCTTCCATGTTTGTTGTAAAATTATTCATAATAGCCAAGGCAAAAATCAACTCAAGAGTTCTTCTCCTGATGAATAAAGAGAATGACACACATATACAGACAGCTGAATGAGAATGAACATAATGAAGTACTATTCTCTCTTTATGAAAAGGAAATACTGTATTTCATGGCAATATGAATAAATTTCAAGGCATTATGCTAAATGAAAAAAATCATACACAGGAAAAACAAAAGGCACACAATCTCATTTCTCTGTGAAATCTGAAGCAGTTGAACTTGTAGAATAGAACAGTGGTCACTATCTTAAAGGATGGGGAGATGTCTATCAAAGATCATAATACTTAGCCTTATTCTTGCAAAAGGAATAAATCCAGTATATCTTCTGTACAACATGGAGATTATAATTAATAATGATGTGTCATCTATTTGAATATTGCTATGAAAATAGATTCTAGATGTTCTCACCACCAAAATTGTATATTATTAGGTATTTTAACTTGCATAGTCATGCTGTAAGCTATCCTTATATCAATATCTTTATCAAAGCCCTATATCAACACTGTAGATATATACCTTTCTCAGTTAAAATTAATTAATTTTTGGAAAAGAATAGACATACCTTCCAAACGGAAGGACACAAAGGTCAGGATGACCAGAGACTGAGGTTCAACATCGATGAAGTAGGTGCAGTTCATGTTGTTGTCATATGGCTTTGGAAAGTTTGGAGAAATGATGTCACCTGTGGAGCCAGTGAACCTACGTCCACATCCTACACAAGAATAGATTTAAAAAACCCATCATCAGGATAGTCATTATTATCCAGAGCAACTATTTCATAAAGAGAAAGACGTAAGACTGCCGTTTTCTTGAAGCCTCTACAGAAAATTTCTTGCAGTACTCCAAATGGAAGAACACCAAGAGAATAACTATGATTTATAATTCTATATGGGAGCAAAATAAAAACTGATTAGAATATCATAAGGAATTTTAGATGACAAGTAGTAGATATTTTGTCACATAATACCCTTCAAGTCTCTTTTTAAGAAGATAAATTATCAAAGATTAAATATAGTTCATGTAAAGAAACAAAACATATGAAAGTGAATTGCAGGCCTGGGGAAATGACTCAGTCTGTCTAGTGCTTGCCTTGCAAGCATGAGGACCTGAGCTCAGTGTGAGAATCCAGGTGAAAACAAAGTCAGGCTTCGTGGTGTGCCCTTGGAATTCCAGCTGTGGCGCGAGAGAATAAGGAAGACCCCTGGGGCTTGGCTGACCAGCCAGTCCAGACAATGTAGTGAGTTACAGGACAATTTAAGTGGCGCACGCCTTTAATCCCAGCACTCGGGAGGCAGAGGCAGGTGGATCTCTGTGAGTTCGAGGCCAGCCTGGTCTACAGAGCGAGCTCCAGGACAGCCTCCAAAACAATACAGAGAAACCCTGTCTCCAAAACCAAAAAAAAAAAAAAAAAAAAAAAAGATTCTCCATCAACAAAACAGAAAAGGTAGACAGCACCTGAGGCTTGATTCCCGCTGTTCCCAAGTCAGTCTGAGGCACCTGCCCCTCCTCCTCAAAGGTTTAGACTCCAGTGCTACTTACGGCTTACAAAGGATGCAGAGAAGCCCTGGCCTGGCATCTCCTCAGACTGGAAGACAGCAGTGAATACGTTTCCTGTTGTGACAATGGGACTAGGAGCCACATCCCCACAGCTTGTGGCTAACAGAGTATCATTGGTCTTCAAGGTTCCTCCCCAGACCTGATGGGGTAAAAAACATGACTTAATGCTATCAGTTTTCACCTGCCAATATTTTAACAGGTTTAGACTCGAATATAATTGTATTTAATTCTATAGGGAAAAAAAGAGGAAGACTAAATAAGTCACACAAAAATCTGGAATATTTTCTTTGGAGAATGATTTTAAAGCTGGTTTTTAAGTGGTTTATTTCATCCTGGTTGCCCTAAGGAGGTTGTGTTTGGTTTTTTGTAGAGCTGGACAGTGACGTTTTCCTCTGATTGGTCGAGTTTAGGTAACCCTGCCTACTACATGCGCCTTTGACCATGTAAGTCTGTGATGGTCTGAAAGAAGTGACTAGTGTAAGTGAGCTGAGAGCGCTGTGCACAGTCTAAAATCTTCTTAGTGTCCACAGGAATACCCCGATCTCTCTTTTAATTCTCACTAAGATCCCTATCCGATACTGGTGATTTGTGTTGCACTTTTGATTTTTGTCAGCCTTGCAATGCATTTATCAATTTTCTTGATTTGTCCTATTGTATTCCTGTTGTCAAGTTCATTAATTTTTATTTTCATAATTATTTTCTTAATTATTGGCTTTGACTTTATTTTTAAAATGTACATAAAGTCCTTAGTGTTACCAATTTACTCTTAAAGTTTTTGCCATAATCTATATATTTGATTGATCTTATTTTCTTTGATTTCCTTCCATGTGGTTTTAAAATTCCTTTGAGTCTTCTTCTTTGACCCATGGGTTATTTTTAGGTGTTAAATGTCAGTGTATTGTATCATACAGTGTATTTTGTCTTTGTCAAAAAATTATTTCTGCACATGAAACAACCTTGTTTCTAACTTAAATAAAAAAAACAAAACAAAACAAAAAAACTCACTGGCTTGCCCACATCGAGCACTCAATAATTTAAAAAAAAATCCTTTCTGAAATTTTAGTCCTGGCCAATGACAGTTATAAAAGGGTAACCTGCCAAGCCCTATGTCCACCTCCTGAGCTAACATGCTCCATTCAGGCCCTGGTGATCAAGTACACTCTCATACAGAGGTGCATTCATAGCCCAGGCACCTTCCTGGGGAGTCTCTTTTTCAGCAGACCCCAGCTGAAGCCTTCACAGGCACCTTTGCCAAGACCTCTTGTGAGGGGAAGGGAGAAAGTTGAAAATGCTTTCTTCCACTTTAACTCAGTCCTTGGTATTTTCTGTTTTTGTTTGTTTGGTTTTTGTCGTTATCGTTTTGTTGTTGTTGTTGTTGTTTGGGGCTCGCACAGCTGTGAACCACTGCCACCTCTATGCTGACTACTTGACCTTTCCACGCGTGAGATGGGAGGAGCCCACACGTTTGCCCTTTTCACCTCTTGATTATGCCATTTCGGGGAGTGATTAAAACCTCGATTCCTATGCTCATTCTGGCTAGCTGTTTTAGCTGACTGCTTATTCTGCTGTGTGGAAGGCCAGCCCTTTTTTGCTATGGCTTTGTAGTTTATACCATCAGCGAAAATATTCTCTGCAGTTTAGCTCTTTGATTTATTGAGGTTTCACTTTCTTTTTAATCTCAGTGTGTGGTCTATGCTGGCATGTTACAAAGACATCCAAAATGCTTATGCTATTGCTGATGTGTGGTTTCTTTACATCTGTCAGTTTTATCCTATTGCTTCACAGCTTCAGAGCTCCCTTGCGTCCTGGTGCATTGTCTAGCTGGCTCCCCTATGAGCTATTGAGAGCAGAGTGGTGAAATCCTAACCCGACTGAAGAGCTACCTTCATAGCTCTATCAAGCTTTGCTTCTCGCCTTTCTGGTTCTATTGTTTCAAGAAAGAACATTTAGTCTCATTTCATCTTCCTGGTAGAATGATTGTTCTATTCTCATGAAAGGTGTCTCTTTTCTACAGCAATATTTTAAAGCTTTGGATTCAATTTTAGCAGCTAATATAGTCATTGCTGCTTTGTAAAAGAATTACTGTTTCCATGCTTTATGGCTTTATATCCTTTTCTTTTAACCTGCCTGTATGGTTGGATTTGAAGTGAGTTTGTTTCCACAAGCATCATGGTTTAACTCCATTAATCTGTCTATTTTAATTGGTTACTTAAACCACATATTTGCACTCTGTTTTCTTCTTGTATTCTTTGATCCACATGTGTGTTTTTTCTTGATTTCCTAGATATCCCACTTTTATTGAGATGTAATGTTTGTCATAGGCCTTCATATCCTTTCTGATAATTTATTGTTCTGGGTGTTAAAATGTACATATATGATCACTGAAGTCTACTCCAGCATTCACACTGGGCCATTCTGAGGGGAGTGTCGAAATACAACCTCCACACCTCCACTTATGTTTCTTGACTACTTTTCATTGTCAGATAACCATTATAAGCTTTTGTTTAAATCACTAAATATAATTCATAAACATATATTCTATGTGTAGGTATATTCTAACCAGATGCACACTTTTCTACTCATTTCTTGATTCCTTCTTCTTTATGCTCCAAGGTTCATTTCCATACCATTCTGGGTAGTTAGAGTAAGTTCCCTTAAACAATCTTTAATGGCAAGTGCCTTATGGATGTTTTCTTTAGCTTGCTTTTATAAAGGAATTTAAAAATTCTCCATTGTATATTAACAGTAATTTTCAAGATGCTAAATTATGACAAAGAAAAGAGTCCTTGACTTAGAGACACTAAGGACCTGCCTACTCCGGGTAGTTTGCTGTCATTGGGTCTCTTTCCTCATTACTTCCATCTACACAAAAGCATCCTTTGGCATAAACAAGAGTATCACAGCACAGGTATCACATTCTTGTCGATGGAAAGTCTTACACTCAGTGAAATATAGTATTTCTTGCATTACTTATTTTTGGCAGTTACCAACTGGTATCATTTTCTGTTGGCACTGGGCTTGTATGACACTTTCAGAGGATTTCCCTTCTATCCAGTGGAAGGATGAGCCCAGGCAGTTTCACTGATTGACTTTTTCCCATCGAATAATTTAGAAGATTTCATGTAAGTTTGCACACTTTGTGTTGACTCGCCTTATGAAAAGAGAGCTCTCTTTATGGGGTAAAAGCAATTAAAAGCAGTATATATTAATTCCATTTTATTATGTGCATATTTTGTAAGGATTAGACTTTCATTTAAGTAAGATGAACATATCAATGTGAAGTAAAACAATTTGAGAGATAATATGAAATAATAATATTGATTTTAAAAAGACATTTCCATTCATTAGGTGATTTTTTTTATATTCCCAAGTACTAGGTAGTTTTTACACTATTATGTCATATTCTAATGTTTAATACAGCCCTATTGAAGTAGGAATCATTCTCTTCATTTTATAGTTAAGCACTTTGAAACTAAAACATTAAATTAAATCATAAAAATACATATGGGTGACAAGTATGAAAGAGTTGAAAATATTTCTGGCTAATAGGACTTAGGCCAATGAGTCTTTCCACCGAAAGGCATAGTTTTACAGTGATACAGTACTGCATGCAAAAGTGAACTTATTATATAGTGATGGCCGTGTCAATAGGAAGTGAAAATCAGTGCCGTATGAGGGAGAAAGCTGCTTTAGAGGAAAGCCTCCTGTCTAACTTCCTGAACCATCATTTCTTAATTCAGGTCTCTCATGGTTGTTTCACAGTAGGGACTCTTAACATCTGGAACAAAGGTTATCATTGACTACTTCAATCTCCTGTCATTTTTATAGCATATGTTAAATTTTCCTTGTGATGAGACCTTATGCTGTTTATACTTTATTTTCTTTTAGCAAAGCAAGACAAAAATAGGAAGATAAAGGGAGAGAAAAAGCAAGGATGGAAAGAAGAAAGGAGGGAAGGAATGAGGGAGGAAAAAAATGAAAGAGGAAAAAAAATCATCCTTCAATGTCCATGACAATTTAAGAAGGTCAGAGGAAAAACATCTCCTTCATTTAGTCACTCTAACCAGAGCAGAAGATGGAAGACTACAGGTCACTATGTACTTGGTGGTTCAAATCTTATCTTTTAACAGTTGAGGAGTCTTGCTTTCACATCTAAGCAACTCAAACAGTAAAACTGTACTCTTTGCACCTCGAGAAACAACTGAGTCCTCTGTAGCCAAAATGCTTATATTCACAAAACCGGTTAAACAAACAAGGACGCTGACCTTCACAAAGCTGTTCCCACACTGGCTGTCACTGCTGGGGATTCGGAAATTGCCGTCAAAGCTAATTTCCCAGTGTTTACTCTCATGCGTAATGGCTGTCCAGGAGCATCTGCTGTTCATGGGGAATGGCTGAGGCCAATGAGGAGATTTGATTGTACCATTATCTGAATGGAATGTTCCACCACAACCTGGAAATTTTCCATTAAAAATAGTAAGTCTTCAAGATAAAATATCAAATTTAGAGACCAAAGATGGCTACAGAATATTCTAAATGTGAAGTCATAACTCATCTTTTCTTGTGTCTGACTCATCTTTGGTGCAGGAACTAAGTAGGGGCCCATAGATATGAAATGCTTTAAAAACAGAAGGCCGTCACTGTTTGGGGATACCCACACAACCCAGCTGAGGTGCTTGATTTGAGTCTTGTAGACTATAGCAACAGACCCCCACTCTGTCTCCAAACAAACCATCTTTTCTACTTTCCTTGAGACTGTATAGCAGGTAGATAGATAGCCAGGCCACACTTACTCCATACTTTCTTACCACAAACAGACACGAATATAGCTGTGTAATCTCTTGTAATTTTAGTCTACTAGAGCAAACTAGAGAAAATGGCTTCTTAGAACTGGGGAAAGTCATCCCACTAAGTAACCTGGCTCATGTTAAAAGTGATTGACAGTTCTGAATAAATCACAGAAATACAAAGAAAGAAAATCTAGAATTATTGTTATAACCTTAAAACACATACCTAAGACATAACAAAGAAAAGGATGAATTGAAAACAGTGAGGTTAAATGAAGGGACATGGCCTCAATCCTTTGCTTTTGAGGCAGTGGGTCATCTCCAACTCCCTGATGACTTCAGGAGTAGTTAGTGGTTTAATGAGGAGATGGAAGAGATTCTATAGAGATCTTCATATTAGTAAACTCTCTACAAAGAACTGTTCTGTGATGGTTAGGATTTACTAAAATCCTAACTATTCAATACAAATACTTGTAGCTTCTGAGAATTTTCACAAGGTTCATATTTCATAGGTACAATGCTACTTTAACAAATCACATCCATTATCTTTTGATTCAATGTCAATTACAAGCTTTATTTTTTCCCAAACCATAGATTTCATCTGGTCACCTTTATCCTCAAACTTCTCAATCAAACACCATGTCTCTAGGGACAACAGACACACACACTATGTAGACTGTGTCTTAGCTTTCTGAAATTTCTGCTCATTAGCTGAGAGTGAGACTATTTATCTGTCTCTTGTCATTAGCCCCTGAACAATATGTATATCACAACTATATACATTGCATTTATATTGTATTATGAATTACAAGTTCTGGAGGACACTCATGCACCACACACAAGGAATTTTAACACCTCTAGATTTGTTTATTGAGTGGAGTCCTGGAGCCCTTCAGTACTATGGAATGACTACACTTTAAATTAGTTATGAAAAATAAATGATAAGTATAGAGGAGGTTTTTTTGTTTGTTTGTTTTACCTAAAGTACTTGTGCTCCATGTAGCATAAAATCCACGACTTTGCCCCAGACGGTTTGTGGTGAAAGTCACCACAAGCTTGTTGGAACCAGACTGTACTGGCCCAGGGACTGACCATCCACAGTACCGTCCTATGACGGGTGATTCAGGGTAACCACCATTCCTGACAGTAACCGCGTCTGCAGAGCAAGTTGGATCGTCCTCAAGATGAAAGTCATTAAATGTGAGCTGCAGAAGAGAAGAGACATGATGAGCCATCCTGAGCTGTAAAGGAGTCCATCCACCTCCAGCACACAGAGTTTCTACAGATGCTTTCATTTTGTCATGATTCGCATTGCTTTGTATCTATGACTCTTTAATTATTTTCTCCTCTTCACTCTGTTTTCCTTGTTAAAAGTTCTCTTTGGAATTTAGAGAGAGTCTATTTTTAGCATGTAGTAGAGTCATTTGGGAGAGCCCTAGCAACCAGTAGGCTAGAAAGACACTTCTTGCCAATTCCTGGAAGCTGAATTACCTTCTACATACATGTTTTCCTAATTTGAGAAAAGAAAACAGTCTTCATTGATTGTAGACTGGTAGATCTATACTCTAGACAAGTAATTTTACAGAAAAAATTATCAGATTATAAAGCCAAAGCGTATACTAATAACTTATTTATAAATACAGACACACACACACTCACACACAGTCACATGTACACACACACACACACACACACACACACACATACATACACATACTCACACACACACACACCATTTCCATGATCTAGTAATCCATCCATAAGAACTCACAGTGATGATGTGTCCTTCTGGGGCTTCCAACAGCCATGAACACTGGGTCCATCTAGCATAAACATTAGGATAGTTAGGACTTGATATCACTCCACTCTCTCCTGTCTGTATTCCACCACAATCTGAAATGAGATTTGTAAACCATAAATAAGAGAGAAGAAAATACTCTCAGAGCCAAAATAATACTTAATGATAACCATCATACTTTCTGGTAAAAACGTAATCAGCCAATCAATTAGTCAATAAATAAAAACCTGAATGAGAGCAAAGTTACAGTGGAAGAATAGAAACAAATGAATTGAATTCCAAATAGTGTTCACCAAACAGAATTCCATAGTACAGACAGCCTCAACTCAGCAGAAACTAGTAGGTTGTCTTTCTGTAAATGGAGAGTAGTTAGGCACAGAATAGCTAACAATGTACTATAGACAAATGAAAAGGCATTGACTTTCCTGAGAATACCAGACTATGGATACATATAGGTAAGTCTGAAGAAATGATCAGCCCCATAATCAAACACATCATCATTTCATATCAAGCACTTAGGTTTCAAAGAGCAGATTATTGTAGCAGGTTAAAAATATGGTACAGGTCTATAACATCATATGATTTGCCTTTCAACATAAGCAACACTGCTTCTTCTCTGTCTGACTCTTATTTCAATGGGGTAAAAAAATAACCAATGGATTTAATGTTTGCACAAGAATATTATGTCTGAGCTTATTCCCTCCTTCAACCATGCATTTGGTTGAGTTGGAATAATCTTTTTGCACACTGTGAAGATGTGTTTTTGCCAAGGTACCTTCTGATGACTTCAATAAAGAGATGAATGACCATTAGATAGGCAGAAAGAGGCTATGTGGTACTTCTGGGGACAGAGAGCTCTGGGAAGAAAGACGGAGGAGTCGCCAGCCAGATGTTAAGGAAGCAGGAAGGTCAGTTCAGATTAAAGGTAACCAAGCCACATGAAAGAACATGGGTTAAAAGATATGGGTTAATTTAAGTTAAGAGCTAATGGGGCAAGCCTAAGCTAAGGCCAAGCTTTCATAATTAATAATATGTCTCTGTGTGTTTTTCTATGAGCTGGTGGCCCAAAGGAAAAAAATCTGTCTGCATTTGGTTATAACATGAAGAACAGTACATAAGACTATAGCAAAATGTATGTTGATTCACAGTCAAACTCAACAGAAAGAGAAGTGGGATTCTAAAATCTGTCAACAAGAAGTACACTCAAACACAGAGGAGCAATGCCAAACAGAAAGTGTGGCAGACAGAGAGGATTCTAAGGAAGATAAGGATTTAGGATGGGAATTAAGGTTTTAGAGACAAGGCAGGAAAAGGAAGTGTGACTTTAGACTTTCACAAAAGGAAACATAGTCACAAATCTGAAAGGATTGTCATGTTAGTGAAAGTAGGCAGAAAACAACAAAAACAACAACAAAAGCTCTGGTGACCAAGACAAGCAGTCTGTTACTCAACTTGGATTGAATTTCTACATATAAACTCTGAACGTCACACATGCAGGCCTAACAACATTATTAGAAATATGCAGTAATCTGAATAAAACACAAACTGTGACCATGTAGGATTTATCCTAAAATGTGAGAATGGTTTACAAGAGAAAACATGTCAATGTAAATTTGAGACCAAACTTGGGGACCAAGCCAAACCATATAAAACAAAACAAAACAGAATTGTCTACACAGAGAAATGTAGGGATCAAAGTCGTTAAACTGTAGGACTATAGTAGGGTCCCTGGAATAAAGGCAAATATATAAAACCTCATAAAACTCTTTTCTTGGTATCAGTAACAGCTAGTTAAAAATTTAACCTGAAATATTTTATTGAAATTATCAAGGAAACTATTGTATAGTAAGACATAAATCTATAAAGCTATATGTGATATCTTTCAGGCTTACCTGTAAAGGAGTATTCTATATTGAATCCAGTATATTCTACATGCTCATTGGTGACAAAATGTATCCACACCTGAGAGTAGGGGATAACCAAGGGTACTGCTGGTGCTGACAAGCTGCAAAACTTCTCTATCAGAGGCCCATCAGCATCACCTGTTCAAAATATTATGCCAAGTGACATTATTTACAGGGTTTCAGACAAATACCTTTAGTTATTAATAGGAACAAATAATAAAAACAAAAGATACTCCTTGATACATTTCAATCTTGGTAGAGTAGCAGACATTTCAAAAGAATCTGTCAATTACACACAAAGAGTTCTCTGACATACTGTTTGGGTGTAGAGATGCCTTTACTATCACTGCCAATCTACGTCTTCAAAACTTTCACGTATCTAAACAGAAATGCAATCACTTAATAGCCCTTTTATCTGTGTGCTTCGTAAGGGAGGAATGTAATGCCAATAGCGATAACAAACACACTCTTAGAATAAAGGTGATGATTGCCCAAACTTCTAGATTCTTCACTGCGTTTGATCATCTGAAATGAACAGAATATTCTGCACTAGGGTCAAGAACTGTCAGGGTTGAGTTGAACAAATTTCATGAAGATTGCTTTTCCCAGAAATTTGGTTAACACATACAGAGTACCTGGAGAGTGCACATTTATCTGCTCCCTATTTGTTCTGTCAGATGGACACCACTGACCTTATAAATCAATGAAATAGAGCAGGTCTACTGTCTGTAAATCAGGGGCATGAAGAGAAGACCGAGTTTCACTGACTGAAACTGAACACTATGCAGCTGTCCTGCTTTATTCTATGAGTGGCCTAACAACAGGTAGAGGTAGTGTTTATCAGCATTTCACAGAAAGCATTCTCAAATAGCCACTTCCACGTTTATACCCATGGGCCTCAGAAAGTGGGGAAGATTCTTGTGCAAGAATCCCTGGTCTTAGCCAAGCAGTAGTGCACATGCCTTTAATTCCAGCACTCGGGAGGCAGAGGCAGGCAGATCTCTGTGAGTTCAAGACTAGCCTGGTCTACAAGAGCTAGTTACAGGACAGCCTCCAAAGCCACAGAGAAACCCTGTCTCAAAGAAAAAAAGAGAGAATCCATGGTCTGTGACCCAAGATTGTATCAAAGGCCTTCATAAAAGCCCTGCTTTCCATGTTCTCAAAGGAGGCCATCAGTAACCGCCAGGTCTTCCCAATGTTGACCTTGGTGTAGCGTGGCTGTGATGCACCTCTGGACTACATTGTTTTATTTAAGGATGTATATAAATTATCTTTAAAAGTATAGAGATGGAATGCATTCCATAACCCATTTGATTTCTTAAATTTTATTTTATGTTACTCACCCTGACAACACCACACTATTATAAACACCACATGTGATATTATACCATTATTTTCTGCATTGACACAACTTATTCTTACTTGCTGTTATCATTTGTGTAGCCACACTAAGACACTAAGATTATTACTCTTCTCTGCAATTTCCTCTATTTCTCTACCATCCAAAGGTTTATGAAAGACCTTTGCAGAATAACTTCCTCCCCTAAAATAAAAGGTGTTAAAATAACACAATGACTATAATAATGTATAATATAGTATATAATATACGTCTATAACATATACACCACTGATTATTATAGTTGTCCACTTTCAGTTTTCTTTTCTTTAGCATTGGAAATTAAGGAGAACACAATCAACATTTGACAGTATGAGCACTATAATACTATTTCCCTCCTCTGTCGACTAGGAAGGATGTGTCAGTGTGACAATGGAGGGACACTCATTACATCATCTACACTTGAACTCTAAGAAGGAACTGGAATCATCAACTGTCCATGAACACAAAGTTTTAAAAAATTCTTAAGAGAATTATGGTTCATCAGATAAGCCTTCATCCTTTTCTATAAGGAAAATAAGCAATGACTTTGAGGATATTCCCCAAACAGCTCCCATGTGCTGCTCCACACTGGTACAGTGTGGGAGGTTTTCAAACTTCTAAGCCCCCCCAAAATTGAACAACCTCACTATGAGTTCTGCAAGTTCAGAAAATGACTGCCAGTGTCTGATGACACCAAGCTTAGTTTCCAAGGACTAGTGGAGCACACTGATAGGACAGAGACTAACTGGAACCCATTCGGGTGAGCGTCCATGCAGGACACCTGCGATGGAAACTCTTCTTCACCCACAGTTCTTAGGTCACATTTCCTATCTGGGAATACAGAATTTAGCTTTGCATTGACAACGCTCCCTTGTAACTTGTGTACCGAGACAGTAGCCATTTGACTCCTGCTGCTGTCTCCAGGAATAAGAAGAATATGCAGAGAAGTGATAAAACACATTCTTTGATTGAACTCACCCACTCGAAACTCAAGGACATCAAGTGCACAGTCTTGATGATGTTCAAGGGAAAATGTTACAAAATGGATAACAATGGATGAATTTTCCCGATTTGGATTACTGAGAGTCCATTCACAGTCTAGGTTCTTTGCATAGTCACGGATTCCATTATAGCCAGGAGAAGTGAAGTTTCTACCAGAGATACTTGGAAGAGATCCACCACACACTAAGGCAATAAAAGGCACAGAGAGAGTAATAAGATCCATGTTTTAACAGAAGATTTCAACAATCAAGGCACAATGAATGAAATAATAAATAGTGGGTTTGGTTTTCAAGATGTAGTCAGGCTGCAGACAAAGGACATACAAACTGTAGGAAGAATGTCAATGGGTTCATGAAGGAAAGATTTCGCTTTATTTTGCTTCTGGAATGGAGAATATGGCTATGGTTTAGTTGCATATCAATATCTCCAAGTTTAGACATATTATTCATTCAGTATTTAACTTAGAAAAATGAACAAAATGCACAAACCACTGGTAGGTCATAGTGGTTTTTGATGAACAATTTTGTTTGATCCAATAATTATTTGCATCAAATAAATAATGTAACACTAGAGTGCAAACAAACCCACTCTTTCTTTTATGGTAATTAATGTCTCCTAAACCAATAAAATGAACAACTTTTTAAAGATGTATTTACTTTCATTCTTCCTAAAATACAAAACCCTTGGATAATGGCACCAAACCTAAAAGGCAGAGGATATTTATAATCCAAGCCACATGTTGTTTAATTTTGGGATAAGCTATACTAAATGCAGCCTGGCTTATTATTTTCACTGAATATACATATATAAGTGGGTGAACAAAAACCAATAACACGTGTTCAGTTATCTGTGGAATTAATTACTCTGTGGTACTGTTATCTAGGAAGTAGGAGTTTTCTTGAATATAAAATAATGAATCAGAGTCTGTGGGTTCAGATTCAGTCCTAGCAGTGGTATTATAAGGAATCTTGCTACAAAGAAATCTAATAAAATTTTGTTATAAAAAAATCAATACACATTTTTTTCTGAAACTAAAATGGTTGCTTCCCCCAACGCCCCACAAAGCAGATTTTCTGTTCACTCAAAAATGTTGCTCTTGGGTTGAAGATCCCAGGTATACTTTGACCATTCCAGAGAAAACAGAAGGCTTGGCTGTTTGGGGCAGTGTTTGGGGGGGCACTGAGTGAGTCTGACTGAGGGAGGTGAGTTTGCAGCCTCCTACATCACCTGCATCTTCAGTGGAGGTATAGGAAGCAGAGAAGCCTCCATACGGCCGGGATCCATCGGTGAAAAATAAGACCTTCATTGTGTTTCCAGTAGATCTGAACTCGCTGGTTACATTCACACGACTGCACAGTTTCTGTAGTTGTGGTGAGTTACTTCTAATGCCATTGAATACCTGTTAGAAAAATAGTTTGACTTGTAGCTATGCTGCAATATCCCTCAGGAGATGACCACCACAGCCCAGACGCACATCCTTCTAAAGAGACCGCAGTCAACAGAAACAGCCCTACCCCAGGTCTATAAGTCACTGAGCTGCCCCAAGCATACTTTTTGGTTTTAGGGTCATGTCAAGAATATGAAAGATTTGTAAATGTCCTCCTGCCATGGGTCACGAATAAGAGGCTACTCTGCTCTTGGCAAGAGGAGACCCTGCTCTTCACGTGAGATAAATGTGCCGCTGTGCCTTCTTTATAGTTCAGAGTTTGCTGACATGTAGTTTCGTTAATTGTGCCTTGGAAGCTTTAACCCACTTAAACTGAAAGTTGGCCTTAGATGATTTCAAATGTATAATCATTCATCTATTGTAAATACCTTGAGAAGTACTTTTAAACAAACTTTTCTGTATTGTTTTTAATTAGGTGTATTTGTGCATATCTGGGTGTGGCTATGTGTATGTGAGTGCAGGTGCTTGCAGGAGCCAGGAGGCCAGAGCCATTGGATTTGCCTGGAGCTGGAGTCACAGGCAGTTGTGACTGCCCAAAGTGTGTGCTGGGAACTGAACTCCAGTCCTCTGCAAGAGTAGTACACGCTGTGAACCACAGAGCCCCTTAAAAAGCTATTTAAAACATAAATCTACCTTTTTGTAAATATAATGGCTCTTTCTTGATACTTTATGGGTTCAGAGCTACATTCTTAGTCATTTGATTTAACTTTTTTTAGTTTTTATTTTTGAGATTATAATATAATTATGTGCTCTTACTCATTTGACTTTTAAAAACTGGATTTTTACTTGTATCAAAATACAATCAATAGCTTTTGTTGCAACTGGCAAAGTGTGACAACTTCTATACAAAGCCTTGTGAATGCTTTTCAGTGCTCAGAACCATTTCTAAATAAATAAGTAGAATTTACTCGGCAATTGATATTCCTAATCTTTAAAAGGATTTGAATGGCTCACAATTGGAAATATCAGCTTAAAAGCTTTGAGGGAGTAGGACAAGTTCTACTCCAAGGGATGCAAGCTTTTCCTGTTACTGTAATTAATGAGTGAACATAACTCTTTGGGGGTTTCTGGTTTAAAATGCCTTCCAGCTACAGGACCAGAGGAAAGGTTTCCATCATTTCTTGTGCAGACACAAAGCCAGAGGCTGCTAATTGCCTACTCAGATTATCTTATCTGAACATCACCATGCCTCTCCCTCTCAGGCATGGACTAGGCCTCCATTTTCCAAAAGCAGACAATAGAGTAAGGAGATTTGTAGTTTGTGGAAACTCCAAGAACTAGGAATATTTGAATTTGGATTAAAATTCTGATAGTAAACCACAAAGCAAAACAACAAAATACAATTCGTATTTCATGCTGCCATGAACAAGAATGGGTAATGAGTTCTCAGAATTGAAAGCATTTATAACCAGTACAAGGCTGATGGGGCATGCTGTAGGCAATGATCAATGGTTTTTGCTTCCTTCTTATGTAGCTGACCGTGGCAGAGAACTGGAACGACATGTGCATTCACCAGTGTACGGACTCCTTTCTCCAGTTAGAAGCAACCAGAGTGTGAGCTCAGGGCTTGTCCTCTAAGGTCTTTTGTGGGCAGAAACTACAAGCCTCAGAAGACATAAGGAAGGAGCAGGCACGTGATAGTCAAGACAAGATCTGAGTTGTTAGGAGCAGGAACAAAATCGGACATTTGTCTCATGACCCCACACGCTGTGTGGTGCAGCCTTTCATTTCCTCTTTCTGAGTCATCAGACCAGTTGCTGGATTTGGAGGAGTTTCAAGTTCAGTCCAGCTGGGTGTGGTGTTCAACAAACAACAGTGTGCTTAAAGCTCCCATGCCACTTGCAGATCTTAAGTTTTCTTTCCTTCTTTTTGGCTAAGCATTCGAGTACACAGAGGGTGGGCAAAAGGCAATTCAAACACTTGCTTGGCATAAAAGGGCAAAGTAAACAACAAGACATAGACATATTTTACAGAGATGGATTTGGACATCCCCCTACAGAAATGAGGAAAGATCTGAAGCTGTGATAGTTGCAGATTGCTAATTACTGGACAAGGTCTGTATTTATTCACTTCCACAAAGTCCAGTTACCAGGTTCAAGTATGTGTGCCGAACTGCCCATCAGCTTTTGCACATTTTTCTTAAATACGAATGGTAACCAACCAGGGCTCCGGGGAACCATAGAATATGAAATGCAGAGACCAATATAAATAGAGATGGAACACGAAGGAAACAATATGAAACTTAACAGCAGTAAGAAGAAGCTTCAAATGATGATTCTATAATAGTTTAGTATGTGCATTCAAATGGTAATGGCACGGCAGGACTTACATGAACACTCAACAGTTACCATCCACACTCTGTGTCCTTAGAGAGTTACAAGAGCATATGTCTCATGGAAAAACAGGAAACTGACTGAGAAAGGAAATGTACAGCATCATGAAGCCAGGTGGCCAGTCCAGAAGGGAATGAAGAGGCTACAAACATCATGGTACAGGGAAATCCCAAAACAATAGCCCCCATCAGGATTGCCACAGATGGACAAGAATTTTCAGCAGGGTGTTGGTGATAAAAATAGACATGTATGCCTTTGGCGGAAGATGTGTAGAACAATTAGTGACTAACATCCATAAAAGCTCAAGGAAATGTGGCCACAGAACAGGGCCTGGCTTAACTTGAATGCAGTTTCCATAATCACCCAGCTGGAACATCAAAGGGCCACGACTGTGGAAGCTATAACATGTGTGCTTTGTAGGGAAGCTGGCAGAATATGGAAACTGTGGGTTCCCTGTGTGCACATCTCATGGGAGGGAGCTAGTTCCTCAGTTTCTCTAGTAGGGTGTGGGTAGATGACACCCTGTCTCGGGGCCTGTAAAGATGGTCAGAGAGTTTAAAAACTGTCCTTAGTAAGTCATAAGACCTAAAGGTCTGAGGCATGGCTACAGTAGGATGTTCGATCTTGGCCTTGGGTGTCTTACCTAAATAACAACAGATTTGGTATGAGGAGTTACTATTGACCCTCAAGGCCAGATAATGAGAAATTGAATCTAAGGTGTGGTTACCCAATCTTTGGAGAATTGAGGAAGAAAGTCTGTTTGTTCCGTATACATAATACCATGTTCCCCTTTTTGGTTAAGGTATTTAAGAATGGTGAAGAATAAACTTGGAGCATTCAGTATTCATTGACTCTACCCTGTGTCTCTGTCTTTCTCTTAAGCATCTTTACCTGAGATTTCTCGATCCACACTCCCCCTATCAGGTACAAACCAGGGGCAAGCTGGCTGATTCCCACTGCAGCCCTGAAAACAGCCCCCCACACATGGCTGAGCAGTGTCAGACTAATACAGAGGGTGGCCACAATACCCCAAACCAACTGAAGAGGTACAGAACAGGAATGTTAGCTGGATATAATGGCATAAATACTACAGGAAATAGCTAGAATCCTGGAGAATAGATGCATCTGGTTTCAATGATTAGGAGTGGATAGGTCATAAGTAAGGATTAGTTTTGCAATCTGTGACCATTAGTATCAATTTTATTTTATTATTTGAGTTCTAAAACTGTGACTCATTTAATCTTTCCTATAGGTCATATACAGTCTTAGGTGGTAAAATCAATTGAATAATCATTCAATTCAACATGGTTTAAATCACAGACATAATTTCAATGGGCAAAAAAGAAATAGCATATTCATGAAAATTTTAGTAATAGGTATGTAGAATATAAAAATTAGGTATTTTTTGTTTTTTAAACTTTTAAGATACTGTTCACTAAACTGCCATTATACTTAATTAGAAAACATTTTAAATTAGTATTAAAAGGAATTTATATTGCTTTGTTAAAGCTATATAAAATTATGCAGGAGTCAGAAAGACATCCAATACATAAAAGTATAGTACATGGGGAGTGTTTAATCTTTTTTTCTCCTATGTCTTTGTTTATATACCCATGCAATAAGTAATAGTATAAGTTGCTTTATAACTAGCAACTTTGGGCCACAAAATGGCTGAGTATTAAGGTGTCTGTCACCAAACCTAACCTTCACACGAGTGATATAGCATGTGCACATCCATAAACATACATGCACAATAAAGATATAAATAAAATGCAATTTAAAAACGAACAACACTGTGGTGGGGATGTAATTCAGTTATTTAGAATGCACAGGACCTGGGTTCAATCCCCAGCACTCTATAAACAAATGCGTGGTGCATTCCAGGGATTGTGACATTCTGAAAGAAGATTTGGAGGATCAGAAATTCAAGGTTATCCTCTGCTACATGCTGAAGTTCTAAGCAGTCTGGGCTACTTGACACCTTGTCTCAAAAAAAAAAAAATCTAAAAAACAAAAGAAAAAGAGAGAGAAAGAAAAGAGAAACAAAAACATAACCCAGCACTTCCTGACTCTCAAATATATGAAAAACACGCTGGTTTCATGCTGAGTGTCTGGGGAAAACATTCCAGCACTTTAGCTATTCGAACTGAGACAATAATCTGAAGGCTCACTGAGGTAATTTTAGGGTAATAGAGAGTGATGAGGGGATGTCATGGGAGGCTTTAATCTTTGGAATTTACTATTTAGCAGCAAACAAACTGAAAACAAAGGTGCTTGTTTTATTTTTTTTTTTAAGCCAACAATGTTATTTCTACAATTCATTCATTAAACCTTTATCTCCAGGAGTACAGAGGCCACTGGGGATTCACTGAAGGAAACTGAGTTCTGGCCTTCAGAGCTGGCATGAAATGCTATGGAATAACAACACGGGGAGGGCCAGGTGAAGGTGGGGTTTGCTTCACGTAAGGTCTTAGTGAGATGGTGTGGATCAGTCATTAGAATAGAGATCCACAGGAAGTGAAAAGATAACCAGACAGCCATGTTAGGATTAACAATCTAGATAGAGGCCATAATCCACCGTTAAGGCCTGATGTTGGAGCTGGTTAGCATAATCAAAGGACAAAAGAGAAGCTAGGGCAGCTGGGTCATAGTGGGTGGGGGCAGGTAAGGTATAGGGGTAGGAGAGGGAGAGCCAGCAGGTACCATCTGCCTGGGTGCACCTTGTTAAGGTTTGGGATTCATCTGAATGAGATGAAAGGTCACTGGAAGATTTTTTTCAAAGAGAAAATGATATGATATGATATGATATGATATGATATATGATATGATAAAGCATTGTTTTTCCATTGCTTAGGGTTGAACCCAGGGCTTTATACATGTCAGGCAAATTTCCTACCACTAGTATACACTCCTACTCTGAACACAATTCTGTTTAGATGGGAAACATTATCCTGGTTTGCCTTGCTGAGAATGTGGGAAGACAAGGCTAGAGACAGAGACCATCAGGAACTGATGGAACAGTCCAAGTGAGGAATGGTGCAGTAGCAGAGGGTACACAGATGTTAGAGCTGGATATTTTCTAAGGCACAACCAATGGCTGTAGGAATTATAACTCCAAAATAAACATTAAGATTGTTTCCTTGAGCCACTGGAACTATTATTTACTCAGATAAGAAAGACTTAGGAGGCCAGGCATGGTGGCACACGCCTTTAATACCAGCACACAGGAGGAAGAGGCAGGTATATCTCTGACTTTGAGGCTAGTCTGGTCTACAGAGCAAATCCCGGGACAGTCAGGGTAACACAGTGACACCCTGTCTTGAAAACAAAACAAAACAAAAGACTGGAGAAGGGAACAGGATGGGTAGAGAAGTATAGTAACATTAATGCCACTTGGTAGTCTATTAATCTACCCATAGCTACATTGATAAGTACATATATGGATGCATGTATATCATACATACATGTATGTTGATACACACACACACACACACACAGTCAGACATACTTCAGAGTCAACAACGTATTTGATATTCATATTCATGGGACTCATTTGCTTTCTTCAGCTGAGGGAAGCTAAGAATACTGAGGACAGGCCTCTCACACCTGAAGTTGGCAACACGGCAGTCTTTCTACCTAGGGTCTCTCAATACCTCTAGCAGAAAATGAGATTATATAGGACCACTCATCTGTGTAAGCCTCATCGATGCTTGTGCTGAGACCGATGAAGTTTGTTTGTGTGCTTAGCTGTGATCTGCTTATCCTCTTTTGTCATATACAGTGATGGTTTGCTCTGAAAACTTAACCCCCATTTAACCTTTGTGCATACAGTGATGGATGACAGTCTCTGAAAGCAGTATGTGGTGATTCTGTTCTACGCAAGCTACTCAGAATTTTGTCTCAAATGTACTTACATAAGTGGTAATAGTTTGATTGAGTTTTCATATTACTACGTCTGGTGAATACCCTCCAGACACAATGGAACACAGTGCCCGGCCTGCAGAGAACACTTACTATGAGGTGCTCATTGTCGCAGGATGGATGGTTGGCCAGCCTCAAGTTGGTAAAGGTTAGGATAACCCTCCTGTTTTCTGGTACAGTGATTGTCCACTCGCAGATCCAGGCATGAAGATTTGGGTTTGGGTAGTGGGGAGAGGTAAATGTTCCAGTAGTGCCACGTAAATTCCCACCACACTCTGAAAAACAGAAAGGAAAAAATTAAATCAAAATATCTCTTTTCACAAGAGATGCTTTTAAAAATTGGTTCTTAATGACCCATCTAGACAAAATTACTGGCCGCATTTTTTTGTCTCCACATGTATGAGAACGTTCATCTGTATTCATTTCTTGACTTCTTATATTTACATCTATATTCAGTTCTTGTCTCCGTCAATACTTAACATTTGCTTCCATGGAAAGCAGTCCACTGGCAGCGCTAAAATTGTTATCAGAGCCCAGGATGTAGTAAAAACCAATAAATATAACAAACTTAGGAAAGCTAAAGTCAATATTCTGTTTTTCTGCATGACCTTTATTTCACCTGAGCTCATCAGGGCATTTAGGAACATGAGTTCTTGATAACTCTAGGGCATTACAATGTACCAGTTTCTCAAGATGGGCTTTATAGAGAAGCCATGTCTCCTCTCTGCATCTCTCATGATACAGTTACTTTCCTTTGCAGCATTTATTCCAGCGTTAAGTTTTCATTAGTTGAAGACTGTTTATTAGCATCTAGCTTTCAGCTCCTCATAAGAGTCAAGAAGACAGAATCACATTTTCTTTTTCAAATTATTACGATATCAGTGCCTAGCGTACTGCCTATCCTCTAGGAGATTAGTACCTTTTCTAATAAGTCTTTGAACTCACCTTCTCTGCTGGACTCAAACTGCAGTCTAAATCCCGAGGCAGTGACAGAGTCATCTGTGACAAACCTGACTGAAGCAACATTGCTAGAAGTGTCGACACTGCCAGGAATGGAGTTTCCACAATATCTGCCCAAAAGATTGCCTGTAAGAGTCAAATAATTAATTATGTACATGCCCAGGTGATTTATTTCTGTCAGTGTTTACTTACATTGTTTTGCACGTACAAAAAAAATATCTTAAGAGAAAATCGTTTGTCCATGGCAACCACTGTTATGAAAATCATGAACAAAAGTCAATATATTCAAATATATGCAGATGTATAAAGAGTAGAGCCAATTAGGTAAGTCTATCTCTGCCTAATGAGGAAGGCTTGCTCACAAGGTTAAAGAAGCAATCCAAGTGCCTCTTATACTGCTATATGATACACACTGTCCTTCCCTCTCCTTATGCTTCAGGAGACTCTTCCAATAACCACATGCAGCACATTGGGGTCTCCACAGGAGGAGGAAGGCATCCCAGTACAAGGCTTTTTCAGCGTGCTCTCCAAGATGAATATAGAACAGCTATAGCAATAATAAGCATCCATTGTAATCTGTTAGAATCACGGAAAAGAACTGCTGGTCTTGTCCAGGGCCCATGAATCTGCATTTCTCTGATGACAACACACACGCCTTTGCCTTTCTCAGAAGCAAAGATACTTCAGAGGTTGAATAAACTGATTAAGAAGCAAACACCCTCAAAGAAAGCAGTATTTTCACTGACCAAAGGTATGGTTTTCCCAGATCTCCACAAAGTCTTTTGCACAACCAGGGGATCTCTGAAGATTAAAATCTTCAAAACGGATGGTAAGATAGTGTCCTGGGAGGCCCCGGAGATGCCACTCACAAAACACATTGTTTGAATAGGGAAGGGTTGGGTATCCAATGCTCTCAATGACTCCATTTTCCCCTGAGACTGTTCCTCCACAGGAGGCTGAAAAACAAACACACACGAATGATATTCTATTATGGATTACAGAATGAAACCAGTATAATTTAAACTTTTAGGAGCCAAGTGAGCATTAACAGAAGTTGTAAAAATCTGAAAATGTTTGCTTAAAGCTTTCCTAATATTTGAAATCTACTGTTGATAGAAAGAAAAACACCTCAAGCCTACTCATTGTGAGAAATGGAAGATGACTATGGCATGTCACATACTGTAACATCACATCCATTCTCCTGGGACAGCATGTAAGAGCTATTATTTGTATGTAAATTTCATCCAGGAAGCAACTGGTGGAGTAAGAAGGCCTGCCTGGTACCCTCTGCTGCTGATTCCAAACACTGTCTGCACTCTTCTGGAAGGGGCTATGGTTGACTGGTGACTGCTGGTATCTACCTCTCTAGGTTAACTAAGTACATACTGCACTGAAGTAAATAGTCTCTCAGGGCTTAAAAATTCCTACTGAGTTATTTCTTATCAGTTGGATGTGATATTTAGATTAACCTACACACAATATACCTTAGGCTATCAGGTAAATTGCACATAATAAATATTGTTAAAACTAGACTTTCTGGGTTTTTGCTGATTTACACATTTTCTAAGAGTTCAGACCCACCAGACACTAAATTATATGTGATATAAGGTATTATATACTTGAAGTGAATCTGCAATATGTATGATTATGGCTCATTTTTTAAAATAAAGAAACCAAACTCCAGGGGAATAATGTGCTTTTCATCGAGTGACTGGCTTGGCATTAGAGATTCAGGAGGAAAAGGCTGAACCATTCCATGGATGCTTGGTGTTCTAAGTCATTGTCCAAGTGCAGTTGTTGAACCACCAAGAAATTTTATTATTTACAAGTATAGTATACCTATTTCATGGTAAGAGATAGAAGCTAAGCTTGATATAACTGAAAATACCTTTCTATACACAAGTTAGGAAAAATATAAAATACTAAAGTTAAAATACAAATTACTTAAAACTGGTGATGACATTGTGAGTTTCTTCATAGCCTTCTTCTGAGTCTTAAAATTAGGCAGGTGAGAGGCACAGTGTGGTTAGGCTTCAGTGTTTCCTCAAACCACTGTTTTCAGGTTTGATAATAAAGCATTACCTATGGAGTACTTGGCTTTGAATCCCATGTAGCTGGAACCACTGTCAGTGTGGAATTTCAGGTACATAAGTTCTCTTGAGGATACCCAGATACTAGGCAAGGAGTGCCCACACAATTTGGAAAGCACAGGAGCATTTGAGTCAGCTCCATCACGCAATTCAAGGTAGCTCGAAGAACAGCTAACAGAAAGAAAGGATCACAGTTACAAAAACAGTTACTTGGACTTATGTTGTTAGTCAAGACTTCTTTATTCAATGACAATATTTAGTCATCATTTCTGTACTATAAGATAACATAACTGAGGCTCTTTAAACTTTATGGCATTTTTAAATGGGAGCTAGTTCTTTATATACACTGCTTTGTCTTACAAACATAAAAGTCATTTCAGATGGACTATGGATTCAACTAAAGTAGAATTTGTCAGACATGTTACTTGCATATATTTCACATGAGAAATATCAGCCTCTCTTGGAAGTCCCATGATTATGGCTACTGAGGGGCACAGCTGCACTCTCTATGCCTATAAAAGAAGATGAGTTTTTACTAATGTTTCTTAATAAAGTCAAACTTAGAGAGTCCATGCTAGTTTCTGGAAAAACATATCATGTTCAGTGTCAAAAGTGGTGATCAGTAGCTCTGTTGTGACATGCATTCATTCACGCAAATACAGAAATATTTTAGATAAAAGAAAAAAGAAACTATAGATCTCTGTGTCGGCTTATAATTTTGCTTTGTTTTCACAGACTATATAGTTTCCCTTGGTTTTCAGCAGAGTCATATATGTTCTCTGAGTTGTGACCCTTCAAGAATCCTGATGCAAACGAGCCTGGGAAATTGTAGAGTGCTTGCTTCAGGGCTGTTGGTGGCACTGGTGGCCTCTACCGTCACACCACACAAATTATTTGCTAAGCAGGTATTTATTATCTGTGACACTCACTATAAGGCCGAAGAAAAAATACTTATCTAACAGAGGTTGTATTTTTTCCTGTGGAGGGAGAATAAAATGCCATCAGTCTCGAACAGTCACCCCCAGTGTCTCTTGGAGGATGTGTTGAAGGTCAGCATGGGAGTAGTTGCCAGGCAAAGCACTGAGGCTTCAGACATTTACTTATCTCTTTGTCTCTATATTTTCTTGGGCAGTGGGTACCCGCTGAGCAAAGAAGAAATAAGTTGTCTTGGATATGGCAGCTAAAAAAAATAAACTTTGGGTTAGAGGAACATTAAAATGTAGATGACCTACTTGGGTGTTTCTTCAATATTGAATTGATCTTCAAACTGGAGCTGTATACTTTGCCCAGAAGGTGCCTCTAAGATCCAAATGCATTCAGCATGCTGGGGATAATTAGCAGGATAGTTCGGAGAGGTCACGTGTCCATCAGAATCAGCACCATGGATGTAGATGTTGCCCCCACAGGCTGCCAAGAAAAGGTTAAATCAATCTACATTCTGGAGAATGAGAATATATTCAGCCTCACAAGTGCTGTGTGCAGTTAATTTGTCTTTATTTTTCCTTTCATTTGAATTATCCTGATGCTCTTTTAAGCAAGTACAATTAGACTTTCCTATAAAATGAGCTACGATGTATGTCCCTCTTTATTCTGTCAACCCTCTATTCTGCTTTTTTCACCAGGTCAAGTGTTTTCTTTTGAAATGTGTGTATGTGAGGGCAGGGTTGCTCTTTTGTTTTTTAATTTGATTTCATTTTGTACCTTATTTGTATGGGTGTTTTTGTCTACAAGTATGTCTATGCACCACATGAATGCTTGATGCCATTTGAGACCAGAAGAGAATATCAGATTCTCTGGAAATAGAGTTACAGACAACTGTGGTCTGTCATATGGGTGCTGGAAATTGAACCCAGGTCCTCTGAAAATGCAGCTAGCACAGCTAGTACTCTTAACCACTGACCCATCTCTCTATCCCATTTGTTTGCTTTTTGAGATAGTCTTGGCTAAACCCTGTCTATGTCACTGAGGCTGCCTTGAAATGTTAAACCTCTTAGATCCACCTCCCATGAGCTGGGATTATAGACACATACCACGATGCCCACATCCAAAATGTCTATTCTAACTAAAAAATTTACTTTTCATTAAAGCTAACAAAATGATAATGTAAAGTATATGCAGCATCACATGAACACATAAACTGAAGTTCTACGAGGTTGATTGACTTGTTAGAACTTCTTGCAGTCTGGAGTCAAATCATCTTGGGCTGTCTTTAGCCTCCTTAGTAGTCATTTATTGTTTACCTATATTTGACCTAACCTCCATTTTCATGGCTACTAGGTAAATCAGGGTCATGTCAACTTTCAATCCCTTGTTTGTTACTATTCAGAATAAATTCATTTGCATCTGTCAGCTCTTCCCACACTCTGTCAGTCCAGGCTAGACCAATCTTCTCATCCCTTTTTTTCAACAGCCTACCAGACATTTTCAGAATATGTAATTCAGGGATTTCAGGGTGAACATATATCAATCTGGCACCTGTGTGCACCTAGCTGTTACTCATGCTCCTTCATCCCCTCTCTCCATTCCCACCTTCCAGCCACCTGAAAATCCACTGGATTCCCTACTTATAACATCTTTCAACATGGACTCTTTTCTACCTTCTTACTGACATTGCCTTAGTTCAGGACGTGGCAGGTTTTCCTGAGTTACATTTTCATCTGGGTTCTTCCTTCATTCTTCCAATCATGCAGCTATGTTGATGTTTCTGTTCTGGTCAAGCCGTAGCACTTTGTATTTAAACCTTTCAGTATTTAAAACTTATCTTTGGGTCATTCTAATGGCCCTTAGCATCACGATACACATGTGGTTCATCACCATAATCATCTCCTTATGACCCTATTCTCCAACATAGTAAATTCTTGAAAAATCGTGAATTGTCTTCTAATGCTGAGATGTCTCATGTTACATAATTCTTTGCAAAAGTACAAATCTCTGCTCACTCCTTTCTTCTATGATTCCATCAGTTGGATATATCTTCCCTGATATGGAATGTCCTTCTATATGCTGTGAATATGTGTTGCTTTTATTGGTAGATGAATAAAGCTGTTTTGACCAATGGAAAGGCAAGATATAGCTAGGTGGGAATTCCAAACAAAGATGCAGAGAGAATGAAGTTGGAGTCAGGGAGACGCCATGTACTCAACAAAGGAGTAATATGCCAGAGCATTATTGGTAAGCCTTGTGGCAATATACACATTAATAGAAACGGGTTCATTTAATTGTGAGAGTTAGTCAGTATAAGCATGAACCATTGGCCAAAAATTATAATTTTAATATTAGTCTCTGAGTAATTATTTCATAAGCATCAGCAGGTACCCAGCAGGAGGGAGAGAATCTGGTCCAGTGGAACCAGGAGATACAGAGAAAACATCCAACTACACTTCTCCCTGTGGTTACAGATCCTGGAGCATTTTTCCATTTGGAACCTACTATGTTGCACAATAACGGCCTCTGCTTGTCTTTCTCCTTCATTGCGTGGAGCCTCTTGATGGAACTTGGTAGCATGTGCAATGTGAAGCTCTTTATAAATGTTTAGCTAACTAATTAACAAGCCAATTAATCAGGTGAGAATAAAAGACATTTAGTACAGAGCCACAGAACTATGAATCAACTACAGTGGAGAGAAAAATCTCTGGGGAAAGATAGTATATATAAAGCTCAGCAAGTGATGCCAAGAGCTATTCAGCAAAACATAATTTAAGACATAGGAAATGGCATGATGCAGACACGACGGGAAGAGAGCTGGGGAGAAGTCTGCCTTAGTAAGTACGGGGAGACAAGCAAAGCATGACCATATTTCTTGAGGCTGCCCCCAAATAATTTTTAAAACAAAAGACCTTTGTTGGATCTTAATATTAAGGACAGTCATGTGTGCGAGGAAAGGCAGGGAGATGATAATGGCCACTAGCATAGATGCATGACCAATGGGCCTAGAAAGGAACTAAGAAGAAAGTACACTTAGCTCATTTGAACTGTCACAGAATTAAGGCTAATCCTAGCATTAACAAACTAGGAAATTGGGTCCTGCAGGAGGTCAAACCGGCCCATTCAAAACTCACTGTGAATCCCCAACACGAAGGCAGGGATGTAAGAGAAAATGCCAACCTCGAACAGCAGCACAGCTGCCCTCAGAGCTGTTACCAGCTTCCTGCGAGCCAGTGCTTAATGCATTAGGCGGTGACTGAACACACTACTTGTCTTGGGCCTTGCATGAATTATTAAATGCTTTGGGGGGGGGTGATTGATAAAAATTTTTTATTTCCTTCTGTTTCCCAAATAAAAAAATGATGCTGCCATTCTGAATTCTCTCACATCTGAGATAATGTGTAATAAAACACAAGATTTCTGTTGGACACAGTGACACATGCTTATAATTCCAGTATTTGGAGTGTCAAAGTAGGAGGATCAGGGATTCAAGGTCGCCTTCAGATACAGAGAGAATTTCCAGCTACCTTGGGCTATATGAGACCCGATTTCAAGCAGCAGCAGCAGCAGTAATAGCAACAATAACAACAAAAACAAACAAACAAAAACATTTCCAATACAATCAATATACCTTTTGAAGCATTTTCAAGAATCTAGGATTAAGGTCACATAATCATTCATGATATTGAATTTGAGGGGACAAGTGGAGATTTAGTTGTGCTGTTTAGTCTACACTGACATTAAGTTAAATGCTATTAAAAAGTGACTGTCATGAAAATCAAATAATTACAGTAAAATTAAATACAATTGTAAGTAAGCATAAGTAAGTAAGGGTGATTGTAGAAAGACTGCTGCTGCAATACAATAATACATGAGTAATAATAGAATCATAGAACAGTGTTTACTACAAAGGAAGAACACAAATGAGGATGAAGGGGGCACCCAAAGCCTTTACTGTGCTACTGTAACTAAGTTTAACTAAGACATTTCATTACAGAAAGAGTAAGGATTCCAGGGTCCATGAAGATCAGTTCATTTGGAGAATTCACTTTGCCAGTAATTAGAAAAAACAAAATAAAACAAAGCCAACAACTTAGAAAATCCAAAGCCTCTTTTACTCACCTGATAACTACAAATGGCTACACTTTACAAGCATCGTAGGGCATAGTTAGTGTATGGAGCAGGCTCTAAGTCCCAGGTTGATCATAGGCAGATGTTCTTATTAATGTCACAACTTTTACCACACAAAATTTGGCATTGTTTTCCTAAAATCTATCTTAACAAAAATCAAGCAATCTCAGGAAAAAAATAGATATAATTCTCAGGGGAAGTACTTACCTAAACTCTTTGCCTCATATCTGATCTTAAATCCTTGACCACCATTACTATTATCAGAAATGAACTGAACAAACATTTCATTGTCTGAGGTGAACAGAGTTGATGGAGTATAAATTCCACAGAAACGACCATTTCCTCCAGAGGGTCCCAAGGGTGGAGAATGGATATCTGGTCCATTTCTTAGCTGGAAAGAGATTAAAATTATGCAATATCCTTTATATTGCAAAAGAATGTTAAAGGTCCTACCAATTTGCATACTAAGAATGCTGAAATTAAGTCTGCAGAGACAGTTAACCACAAAAAGTAACAAGCATGACCTACCACCAAGTAATCCCCCTGGCTGCAAGAAGAGTCTCTATTTTGAATCTGGAAAGGTTGCTCAAAATGGACAGCGATGGTCAGACCACTCTGGACCAGAACATGCCAGGAGCAGTTGAGATTGGGAATGTAGGTGTCTGGGTACTTGGGGGATGTGATAATCCCTCTGTCTGCATGCAAATATCCGCCACAGCCTTCCCAAGAGGAAAAAGAAAAGTAGGTTATTCAAATGATATTGACAATGAGGTTTTTATACTTTTCTCCCCACCCCCCAATTGGAGATTTTTAAAATGCAAGCAACAGATGAGAAATTTGAAACTGGGATCAAAGAATAAGAAATTATTAGAGGCACAACCACTAAATGAGCACACACTGTTGGATACTGACAGCGTTGTAGTTAAGATTTGAGTCATGGAGAATGGACCATTTGCTTTCACAAAAACTGGCTTTCCAGAGGTGGACGGCATGTTAAAAGTAAATATATACCATGTGAAATAGTAGTAAGTTCAAGAAAGAAAAGTGAGGGGAAGATGTACTCTGTTGCTAGGGAAGTTGGAGAGGTAATATCTGAGCAGAGACCTGGATGGAATAAGGAATGAAACTGGGTGAGCTCAGAGAAGACAAACATTGCAATCCAGAAAACAGTGTAAAGGCTTGATGTGATAAGAGGGCCATCACTGGGACTCAGGCTAGATGAGGTAGCATGCACAATTCAGAAAGTAGCTTGGTGAGCTTATATAAGAAGCAGAGCAGACTTTACTCTGCTACTTAAGAATGGAAAGGCTTTGGAGATCATCTGTGCATCTATCATCTATCTATCTATCTATCTATCTATCATCTAATTAGCAATCTACTGTCTGTCCATCCTTCCATCTATCATCTAGCTAGCAATCAATCATCTATCCATCTATCATTTATCTATCTGCTTTTTTGTCTATCTGTCTAATGAGATGCTAATGATATATTAGACATTGCGAGTTGAGGAAGAGTGGGGAAGCAGGCCTTAAGTTGTCATTGTCAAGTACTAGGCAGCCTGTCATCAAGTAAATAAAGAAACTTCACACAAGTTATTGCAGAGACAGACATTTGTTTGAGCTCTAATTCCAAAGCACAATCTCGATCCTCTGCACAGCCTGCTTCTACTGAGTGTAAGGTAGATCATTTTCCTATGATTGCTCCATCCTTATAAAAGCTATATCTAAGCAGGAAAGGAATTACTAGATTAATTTTAATGTTAGGTTAAGAATCCATTTTAAAATTAATTTTTTCATACATAACTGTCTTTCAATATTCCATAGACAATTTCTTTAATGTTAATCTAGCTTTACTTCAATGTTATTATGAGATTTCACATGGTGTCAAGTATTGAGAAATCTCAATTATATGACACATAAAGCAGTTCATATACTACACACATCCTCTGACTAACCAAGTCCCTATTTTAAGACCTACAGACTCTTTCTATCACACTCAAAGCATTCATAAACGTGTCTCCTGTATCATGTTTACTGGTTATTTCTTAAGTGGGATACAGTATGTTATCCATAGTTCTTCAGATGGGCTATGGATATGTATTCTCTTCCAGGTCCAACTCTTAGCTAGGGTGAAAGCTATTTTAAATATCTTTTTCTTGTGTCTACCATGAACACACCTCTTACAGAAGTGGGAAGTACCACTCAGACACCCAAGAACAAGAGACACTCTTGTACAGTGACAACTCTGGTTTGTGTGCGGACTTGGTACCTAGCACCATGATGTAGTAGGTACCTGTGACTTTTGATTTAAACTTATATCTTAGCATGGGAAAATGATTTGGGCAATTAGGGAGAAAGTGGATAGGAGAGGAGAGCAGAGGGGAGGGGAGAGGAAGGGAAGGGAAGAAAAGAGGGGGCTAAGGGGGAGGAGGGAGAAATGCATGAAAAAAAGAGGAGGACAGAAAGAATTGAGAGAGAAGAAAGCTAGAGGAGAAGAGGAAGGAGAAAAGGAAGAGAGAGGAGCGGGGAGGAAATTAAATGGCGAGCGTTTGACCACATTACTTTTGTGAAAGGAGGCATTGAAGCCTGCTCCAGTGATGCTGCCATCTGAGGTGAAGCGGATATACATGTACTCTCCAGTTGACCGGATGGGCCCGGGAATGTCTCTGCCACACAGGACAGCCAGGATTGGGGATACGTTAGTTTCTCCTGTGACCAAAGAAGGAAAATGTCAGTGTGAAAATACAGTCTTAAGAATCTACTCCACCATCTTTTGCAGCCCAGCCAAAACTACTCACATGCTTTTCCCAGAACACCCAAGTGCCCAGGAGATAATAGTGTTCTCAGTAAGAGGGACAGCCAACTTCACATCGTCCTGGCTCCAACTTGCCATGACCTGCCTGCCCTTTTCTTAACCCTTGTCATTAAAAACCTTTGGGACAAGTCTCTCTGTCTTCCTAAACCTGGCAGCCAGCTCTTCCTGGCACTGAAACTCAGAGAGAGGGGAGCTGAGGCTGGAAAGGGATGGAGGGCCATGTTTACATGAGTGGGAGTTAGAGGCTATCGTCTCAGCTGCTGTGATGGCTGAAGATAACTAGCCTAGATCTGAGTTCATAGAGGTCGCTCACTAGGAGGTAAGGAAGCTTCATATGAGCATTTCCCCAGCCCAGACATGATTTTATTTTTGTTACTTTTTAGATTTTGTTTGCTTTGTGGTAAAAGAACTATGGTTATATGGAGGATGAATAAAGATGGTCCCAGCAAGTGTGGTTCCCAGGAGGAGACACAAAAGGGAGTCAGGCCAATCTGTGGTCCCTTTTCTTATTGCTTCCTTTGGATATACATGTCCAACAAACCAATTGTTAGCTATCTCAACCAGAAGCTGAATGGGATACAGGGGATTATAGCAGACTAGGCTGGGAAAATGATAAAGACAGAAAATTGGCAGATTTTAATCTTATAAAAAAAAGAGAGAAAGAATTTGAGAATAAAGAAATGTGCTCTTTTACATAACCAGCAACGTGTGTGTGTGTGTGTGTGTGTGTGTGTGTGTGTGTGTGTGTAATTTTAAAAATGCTGAGAAGCCAGTTTCTACTTTTATGTAATTAGCAATACACTGGCAATTATGAATATGAACTTTTGCAAGAAGCTTGGAACAGAATTTTTGTTGACTTTCTGTATTTATTAGCTATAAAATTTTGGTCCATTTATGGCAATACATGTTTTACTTCTCAGTGACACTGGGCTTTACCTATTAATTTTTATTTATTTTCCAAATACCACCCCAGACTGGTGAAACAGTGCTTATCCCTACATGATTATTTATTTAATTCGTTCATCAGTGGCTACACAACTCAGTAACTACAGTAATCTTTACTTATCTTTTTAGTCTCCAAATCTAATTCTGGGGCATTTTGATAAACTTGCAAATGCTAAACATTCCAATTTTAGACCAAAGACCCATCTCTAAAGGGGAAATAAGTCTGGGAACCATAAATATCAGGCCTAGAAGAAAGTCTGATGATTCCCTAGGCCAGCCTGACTGTCTTAGAGATGTGGAAACAGGTACTAAAATTATAAAACCCTGACATTTATTGAGCAGCTTCTATGAACCCTTTTAAGTGCCTTACATATGGTTTCTAACTTTTTTCTTGATGAAAACAGTTAGATAGGTATTATTGTCATCATCACCAGAGAAGGAGTCTTATGAGGGACGCAAGCTTGGTTACCATATGTAAGAGCACAGAAGTCAACAATGACGCTAACCCTGACAGATTAACTCTAGGTACCCCAAACTTCCTCTACAAGATGATATGTCTAGTGAGACTACAAGAAGGAATTACTGGTTGATTTATATTTGGTTTTGAGACAGTGTCCTGATTATTTCAGGCTCACCTTGAACCCACAAGGTAACAAACAGAGGATAACCTAGAACTTTTGATGCACTACCTCTGTTTTGGGAGCGCTGGGATTACAAGGCTGTATGGCACTGGGAACTGAACCAAGGTCTTCTAGAATGCTAGGCAAGCACCCTATCAACTAAGCTATATCCAAGTCCAGAATTACTGACTTCTCATATAATATTCCTCTCCCTCTCTCTTCTCCTTCCTTTCCTCCCCTCATTTATTCCTTTCATCCTTTCCCTTCTATCAAAAAAATACTTGCTATGTTCAGCATAGTTCTATGAAATATTTTGGAGAATGTTTAGTACATAAAATTTGATGTGTGTTGTCTTTAAGAGAATGATTTTGTTTTAAACAATAAAAAGGAATCCTAATTGGGAGATTGACTGGCTTGTTTACCAAGATTGCTGCAGGACCCTGTGCCATTTTATGGCCATGTGCCAAGGATTTATGAGGACTGACCAATTGCACATGATGTCTGTGTCACTGTTTTATGGTCAATGGACTTTGCATATTTGCTTTGGAATGTCAAACATGCCTACCAATCAGAAGCAAAATAACTAGTGGGGCAAAAATCCAAAAAAATAAAATAACAGGAAAGTAAATTTTAATTCCATAGAAGTTTAACACAGTGCAAGAGGACAAAATATCCAAAATACCCAACAACTGACACAGGTACTCAACACGTGCTTTTTTTTGAAGAAGCAAATAAACAGATGAAGAAGGAAGGAAGCTATAAGCCATCTATTCATGGTTGTGAACTAAAGAGACCCATGTGCATCAGTTGCCCCACTGATCTAAATGCTTTTGTTGTTTTGGCACAAAGCACAATTTTTGAGCTCTTTCAACTCACCCTATGAGCAAGAAAATGGATAGAACACATGTCAGAAGTGTCTACTTAAGTAAAGCAAAGCTTAAAGGATTCTGTAGCTACAAAATTCTTGAACTTTTGTTCAAATTTTACATCTATTGCCTTTTCAGATAGTCATAAAAAGCTGCTGGGGGAGAAAAGACCTCAGGAGCAGCATTCATCTCTTTCACAGATGATAAAACAGGCTTGCACAGGTCATCCAAGGAGTGTGCTTTAGCGTCCAGGCTTGCAAGACAAGCAACTCAGTCGATGGTGATTTTTAAAGAACAAGCAAGCTACTCCATTAATACAGTTCCCTCCTGAAGATTTCTAAAAGGTTTCAATTGTATTGTGAACACTCAGATTCATGTGTGCCACGATGCACCCATTTAATTACACTGTAAAAATAAAATCTAGTATATACAGGGATGCCTTGATGTCAGGAAAGAGGAGATATTCTGGATGTGTGCTGAAAGTTAATTGTTCACAGGACAGAAGGTCTGTGAGGGTATGATTGATTATTTCTTAGCGTCCAGTCTCCATAGATTGAGATGCACATCTCCACCAAGCAATGTTTCTCACTGGGAGGTTTTGTACAGATGGGACTATAAGAAAGCAATTTCTTGAATATTACAGTCAAACACCTTTGCTGTTATTGACAATATACATTTCCAGGTGATGCAGACATTGGTATTCTGGGGGCCACTGAGAAACACTGATATAAAGGATGTGGCCTCCCAATTGTCCTTTTGTACTTAGTTGATGCATAGTAGGAAGGGCAATTGCATGTATACTGTATAGTTTCAAGGTTCCTGCCCCATCATCAATGTATAGCAACACTACAACGTTCTCATTTCTAACTCTTCTACCCACAGATCTAGGAGAAATGGGTACATTGCCTATCTTAGATACTTACTGGTTTTAAATTTGGATCTTAAGGCTACAAATACAAATGTTAGTATCTATTTTCACTGTATCAATAAAAATTTAGCATAGCTTGAAATTCCAGACTGTGTCTCCCTTCAAAAGGCCTTTATTTTCTCTGAGGAATGTGTTATCCCTGACACTTTGTGATAGGTAATATAGTACTCTCCCTACATTCTCTAAACATTGTAGCTATTTACTCCATTTTATGGCTTTATTGGTTACAGTATCTATGAAATTCTGTACAAAATGTGGTGGCGCTAGTATACAAGCACAAAGGCAACTAATTGTAACTGTGCATAAGAGTTTAAACAGTGCTTTCTACATGGTTTCTCACCATCTCTTATGATGAGTCTGTCATAGTCACACATTAGCTGAGATTCGATGTCCATGGAGATAATGTTGAGTTCCACAGTAGAACCAGGAGCATAGATGATCCATGTACAGTCAACACGATTATCATACTGCCCAGGCCAGCCCGGGGAGAACAAAAGGACAGGAGTATCCCCTGTCATCATATATCCTCCACAAGAACCTATAGGGGGAAAAGCAGCATCTTTAAGCCCTTCTCTTGGAAGTATTTCAAAAATGGTTGCACTCTGGGGCTGAGAGATAATACACAGTTAAAAGCACTTTCTACTCTTGCAGAAGACCTGCATTGGGTTCCCAATATCCATGTCAGACAGTTCATAACCATTGTGACTCCATCTCTAGGAAACTCAACCTCTCTTCTGGAATGTTAGGGCACCAGTGAACACACACACACACACACACACACACACACACACACACAGAAGAAGAAGAAGAAGAAGAAGAAGAAGAAGAAGAAGAAGAAGAAGAAGAAGAAGAAGAAGAAGAAGAAGAAGAAGAAGAAGAAGAAGAAGAAGAAGAAGAAGAAGAAGAAGAGAGAAACAGATAGACAGAGAGTCTTAGAAAGACCCCAAACACACCTGTAGCAATGGTAGGAATAACTGCAGGAGAAGCATCTACTGCAAACCACTCCAGAAGGAATCCCTTCCCTGAGATGGTAGAGTCAGAAGAAAACTGGAATGTCATAGAGTTTCTACTGGAACTAATATATTCCAACAACTGGTTACTGCAGTAAGTGCCGATCAGGCGGGAATGGATGTCGCGCCCATCATAAATCTGCATGTTAAAAAAAAACACAATAAAGCATCATAACTAGCCAATTATCTATATTTTTCTTCATTAAAAGAGAAATTTAAAGGATGGTTTGTAGTTTATAATTTTATCAGAATAGAAAGGATTTCAAGAAAATGCTTTACTTCAATTTAAAACAGAAAGTCACATTAAATATATTGCCATAAATAATTTAAAGTGTTCTATATAGCTCCATTCAGAATTATCCTAATAAACATGCTTGTGGGCTATATCATATTTAGTTGCTTATAATCAAATCTGTGGGTGGGAAAGTACAACCTATTGTACAGAGGGTCTTACTCTAAGAGAGAAAAGAATTAGTAACAAAGAAAGAACTGTAGCTTATGGAGCTTCCCATATTCAAAATACTTAGTAAATCTATTAATCTATTCCATCTGCCTTAAAAATACTATCTTACCTATTTAGAGACATTTTGTGATAATCTCCAAATAATTGTAAATAATTCATTGTAAAAATCCTCTACTAAGCTTATTTATTTCAAATTACATCCTAGTTATTCCCACAGCTATTGGGCATCATGTCAACAGTCATTGACTTCTACTTTGAGTACTGAGCTTCCAAGAAGAGTGGTTGGATTGTGGCTTCAGGGACATGATAGTGTTCTCTGGAATTCACAGAGTAACTAACGCATTTTATGTAGAATAGAAAATAACAAATGTAATACAAAAATCATTTTATATAGATGACAGTGAGGCAGCAGTTATGGTATGATAGGACCATTACATATGTCTTTTATTTATTTAAATAGGTATGAATTTGAGCTTATTTTTTCAATAGTATCCATCAAAATATATAAGCATCCCCCCTCATAAAGAAACTTACCTTTAATTTGTCAAAATTGCAGTCGGATGTTAATTCCATGTCTATCTTCAAAATTCTAGCCTGGATAATTTGAGATGCATTTACATTTACTGTCCATATGTAATTGGAGTTATCGGGGTAACTTCCAGGCCATAAGGGAGATGCGATTTTCCCATGACTTCCCACAATATTATCATTGCCAAATACTAGGAGGAAAAACAGAATTGTAAATCAGACCTATTTAGAGTGTTCTTTAATTAGATGAAAACAAAAACAAAGGGCAAGACAGTTGGAAAGGATAGGCTTTTAATTGATTGGGATTTCTTTTCTGACCACTGAAAGAAATACTGCTTCCCTTTTGGTTTTCTGGGCTATTATCTCCTGGAGAAGGATGACTCTTGAATGCAGCCTTAGTTGGCTGCAGGGTATGAAAAGAAGGGACAGCTTCCCATGAGAAAAGGACATCTCTGGCACCAGGGGACTTGGGGAGTAGGAGTGTCATCTCACACCTTAATTGTATTTTACCAATTTTGCTTTGTTTTATGAAAGAAAAGAATTTTTCTCTCCTTTTAAAATTCTATATGTAAATCAACACAGAGAATAGTCAGTCATGGGAAAAACTGAGTTAAAGAATAAAAATAATTACTATTTTATCTAAATTGGAAGAACAGCCCACATTTTTTATCTAAATGCATAAGCCGACTCGAAAAATAATTCTAAAGGTCTTAATTTTAGGAATAAATTTAAAATAGTAAATGAAACATGTCTGACAGAACTTTATCTGCCAGGACCGTATTAAAAGGCCCATTCGCATGATATTATAAACATTACTAGCAGGTGGAAATTGGAGCCTAAAAAGAAGACTCAAAGCATCAAGCACAATTTCCTTTCTTTGAGTGAGTCATCAATAATAGTTGGGTCTTTCTGGTATATTATTCTGCAATCTGAGAAATGAACGCTGAGTATAAGATTATTCTTAGTTAATATATTACCGAAACTTTTGTCATCATTCCTAGTTTGTAGGATACATTCTGGAAACCATTATGGTAACAAACCTACTTACTCTGATTGAACCTGGCCTGGAAGCCCATGCCATTGCCTGAGCCATCAGAGACAAATCTGATCCACAGAGTATGTCCCTTGATGGATGAGTAATTGCCAGGGAGAGAGTTTCCACAGTATCGTCCCACCAAGCGGCCTGTGGCGTTTCCTTCTCGGATTTCCACAAAATCCTTGTTACAGTTTCGAGAGTTCTCCAACTGGAAGGATCTAATTTGGAAACAAACAAACAAAAAGTAACAGAGTGAACTGATAGAATAAATTTGAGATTATCCTGACCAGTTTTGGGGAGCCAAATCCTTCTTCTGTTCTTCATGGGCCAAAGCAGTTCAATACTGAAAATGTTGGCTATTGCCTCTCAAGTAACAAAAAGGAACTCAATTTCTTTCTTTTTCATATGCTGAAATTAACAGTTTTTTCTTATATGTTCTCAAAATGTTGGAGATATAAAACTCTTACAAGAAAACAAACACTATTTGGAACTTTGGAATAAGCAAATGCAAAACCTACAAGATAAGCAGTATAATTCAGGCTCTGTTTTAGTACACTCGTGTTATGGCCGGTGTGAACTATGCTGAAATTGTTTTCCTCTGCTTCTGAGGAAAGAGAAAGGTGAATCCTCTTTGCTCTCAGAGGGCGGCGACTCCCCAGCCTCACTCTCATAGCATCCTACCCTGCCATGGTGTGTGGTCCAGCAACCTTACTACCTCCTGAAACCTCATCTGAAATAAAGAATCTGGGCCCCACATGCTTTGTCTGGACATTTCTTTCCTTCCGCTGCAGATCCTTTGCTGATGTGTTACATTCCGGATTTCCTGTCTACAGGTCCTCTGTGTGCGCATGCGTCTCAGATTCGGTTTGTGCTTCTCCTTCAGCTTGTTTGTTTGTTTTTCTTTTCTGTCAGTTTTGTGCTACTCTGGCTTGTTTGCTTTTATTTTACTTATAATGATTATTACTTTAAGTGACTGTATTCTAATGAGAGAAAAGAAGATGTGGATTTGGGTTGGTGGGGAAGTGGGGAGGAGCTGGGAGGAGCTGGGGGAGGGGAACCAAAATCAGAATATAATGTATGAAAAATATTTTTCAATGAAAAATAGATAAATATATATTCCAGAGGTGGGGGGAGAATCTCTAGCCCTAAACAGCAACTGACTTTGGCCGTGAAATTTAGTGTATCTCTGGTGATCTAAACGCTTGTTAAAATTCTGACCAGTGATCCCGGAGATGACACAGGAAAGGTCTTTCTTAATGATCAGACTGTCTTCCGGGGAGAAACAACAGGGAAGGCTTTCCATCAGGAATTACAACAGTGATACTTAAAAGAGTCTGACCAAACTTCTTATAAAAGCTTTATTCTTGGAAGTCTTTGTTTCAGACTGGTACACTTTATAAGCAAATCTACCCTTTGGCTAAGATCTTTCAGTAAAAATATAACGTGCAACAAAAATAATCTGCTTTCTGGTTCCCATTATCTCATTTCAGCCACCAAAACCAACCATTTCCTCAAAGCCTTCTGCTGGCATAAAGTACGATATCTGTTCATTACTTTGAATATCTGTTGCATAGAATAAATAAGTTTTATTTCTGCCCCCTCCTTTTCATTGCAAATCCAACCATAATTTATCCATTTTTTTTTTCTCCCTGCTCAGTTTCGCCACAGCATCCACAATCTAAACCCTCTGTTGGAACTTGATGGGTTTCAGATGTTTCTGACACACCCCAGGGAAGAGGTCTAGTTCCACATCTGGGAGTATTTTAGATGAGGGCAGAAGTAACTCCCAGGCCTTGCCAGAAAGCCTTTCTCATTACCATTAACACACAGCAAAAGCAGCTGCAGTCTACAATGGCCACTTTAACAATAAAACTCAAGCCTGTGACACAAAGGAGTCAAACTTCACACAGGTGAGTGAGGTTATCAATGGAGTCCCTAAGAGTTCTCTATTCAGTAATTATATTTACTGTCTGTCAGCTGGGAAAATGGATGACACTTTCTGTCCTCATTTGCTTTCTGTTGCTGTGACAGACACCATCACCAAAACTAACTTAAAAAGGAAAGAGTTGATTCGGCTTATAGGTTACAGTCCCTCATATGGAAAGACCTAGGTAGGGGCTCAGGGCAGGAACCTGGAGGCAGGGACTGAAGGAAAGACCAAGAAGGAGGACTGCTAACAGACTGCCACCTAGGCTGCCTTTCCTCTGTAGCTCAGGCCTGCAGGGGGCTGGGCCCGCCAACATCGATTAGCAAGGCACGCCCACTGGCTAAGTCTTCAGTTGAAGTTCCCTCTTCCCACCTAAGCTCTAGGAAGTCCAATGTGGGTGGGGTAAGGGAGCTTGTCTCTGAAGCACCACAGGAGATTCTTCAGACACAGCAAATACTGAAAGTCTTCACAGAACACTGCTATGTCATGGTCTTGAAATATGTATTTTAAAATTTAGTATCCTTAACATAACCAGGGTCCTTCAAGTTCATTAATATCCTAAGGAGGGAGTGAATCTTTTGAGCTTTCTTCAATTCACTGGCATCTTGAAGTTGATTTTTCAATAAATTTGTCAAGAACCGAGAGCAGTTAGATACGCCCAGTATCTAACCTTGTTCCTGGAACCATTGACTGTCGGAGGGGTGAACAACATGAGTACGGTAGAGGTGGGAGGAAAAAGGCCAAAAAGGAGGTTCATGCATTTGACAAGTTACACGGAACAAGCTGCATGGAGGATCTTGGACTTCATCCCTGAGACAGGAGTGTTCCTCCCTCACCACTGTCTGTAAAGCACCCCTTGGGAAGGATTACATGTCCACGGTGTGCTCCAGGTACTGATTAGCATTTGCTGAATGGAAACACACACCATGTGGAGATTATTGTATGGATATTTGTTTAATCTCCTGCGACATAAGAAATGTCACAATTTCAGTGAAAACAAAGGTGATCGCAAACATCCCCCCATGGCAGTTTAATCAGTTCTTGTTGCACAGACGGGCATGACTAGGAGGAAGAGCCAGAAAACAATGTTCTTCTCCCAGCATGGAGAATTTACATCCTTCTCAAGACAAAATCAACAACCAGATAGTGCCACGCATGCCTGTTATCCCTGCATGGCAAGGTGAGGCAGAAGGATCACAGATTTGAGGCCACGGTGGGCTGCACAGTGAGGACATGTGAAAAGCAACAATAAGAAAGAATTAGTGATTTCAACCTGATTCCAATAACGTGCAATATAATATGGCATATGACTTTGAACTCAAAATGATAATTTAAATACCCCAACATATCTTCAGTAAATAAATATTTGCTCGTTCTTTTCTTTCTTTTTCTTCTTTTTAATTTTGTGACACAGGGTCTGTATGTCTCCCTGGCTGTCCTGGAGCATGCTGTGTAGACCAGGCTGGTCTCAAACTCAAAGAGATTTATTTGCCTGCCTCTACACAGGGGTGCTAGGATTAAAGGTGTGTACCGCCACACCTGGCGATGGCTTGGACCAGGATGCTGGTTACCCATCCTATCAGTAACAGTGCTTCCTCCCTGCAGACTCACCAGCACGAGACAACACACCCATGCAAAGGACTTACAGAAAGGACAGCTGTAGCTGGTTTCCAGGAGAGCTGACAATGTTCCAGACACATTCCACATTAGGATGGTACTCCGCTGGGTAGTCAGGGCTGTTGAAGATTCCATGAGCTATGTTCAAGGTTCCACCGCAAACTGGAAGTCAAAGAAACAAAGGGAGCTTCAGAGCAAAGGCCAAATAAAGGATACCACAAGATACAAGAGGAAGAGCCTTGGAGCCATATGCAAAGGACATGGCACTTTCATCTCACATTAACAATAAATCTGTGTCACATATAGTAATAGAGGGAAGATTCCAAAACCAGAAAACCAAGAGCTCTTCTGTATGGTAGACCAGAGGGGACCCTTTTCTCAAAGTCTTTCTGCTTGTGAACTAGAAATGTAGGTTAAAGGAACTTGTTTTTACTCCTGCAGCCACTTGATTTTGATGGTCAGGGTGATTTTCAGGCTTTCCCTGGAAGAGAAGGTACTTTGCAGCTTTTCCCTGTGAGGAGAGCACTGATACACAAACCTGGGCTGTAACAGCCCCTCTTGGCCAGGAACCACAGTGCTGGATGGCACTGTGTCCCTTCCCCACCCGTGTGCCTCACTACACAGGGGACCTGTCAATCCAGACCTACCTGACCCTACCATCAAATGCAGATTAACCGTGAAGCTCTGTGTCCCTATGAACTTCCATCAAACTGTCAGTCATGGAGCACCTTGGCAAACACATTGCTGTGACCCTAGAGAACAAGTCTCCAGGACTATAAGGTGTAGCTAAAGTCAGCCCGGTTTCCAGCCTGTTCTCTTCACTCACAGATGTTGTGGTTATGAGAATTTACACAACATTAAATTATGAAGAAGGGAATTGCAGAAAACTGGCTCCCAACTTTAAACTAAAAGAGTCCTAAATAACCAACCAAAGCTTTCCATCCAACGCCGCTAACCCTGCAGTCATCTGTTAATGCCTCTTACTCACCTGATGTTGATGCAGAATAGAAGGCATGGAAACCCTGAAACGTGGCAAAAGAATCAGACACAAACCTCAGTGTCAGGGCATTGCCAAAGGATATGATGTGACCGGGCAAGGAGGCGCCACAGTAACGGCCTAAAGAATGAAAAGAGTAACAAGGAGGTGAGTAATGGCGTGGCAGAGGCCACACGTATCTTTACCAGGCACACATAAGAAATCATAATGAGAACCACTTACATCAGAGTTCTGTTTGAGACAATGCCTGGCCACTAAAGATAAACTCTAGATACAAGCATAACCAGGATGAATTATAAACCTGATTTAAAAAAAAATAGAGGGACAGAGGAAAAGCTAATGTGACCAAACTTCAAATCTAACTCAAGTAAATATTTCCAACCAAGTAGGGACCAGACAATAATGCACTTAGACTCTCAGTACATTGTCATAGAGAAGAGGAGACAGCGGATCAGGTGACATGGATTCGACGACCGGCTTGCCAGTTACTAGTTATGTAACCTGAGACAATTTACTTGGGGCTCTGTGACTCAGTTTCCCCATATGAAGAGGGGGCATACTAGAAATAACTAAACTCATGTCACAAGGATATAAAGACTGAGTTCCCACTTACAGAGTACTTAGAACAGTACTCCACAGGAGGTGGTTGGGTAAGAGTGTGTGTTATGTCACACATCCTTGTCTTCGGTACAGTATAATGGATTAATATCTCAGACAATACAATGAGAGGTATGCCTGGTGCTCCATTATGGGCACAGGAATCAAAGCAGTCTCCTCTGACAGAGCTTTTCCTGTGGAAGGAGGGACACTCCCATGGCAAAATGCCCATAGAGAAAACTGAATGCATCTAAGGTTATTTTGTCTGAACCATTTTAAAAGCAATGTCACATACATTTTAACTTATTGGGATGCCTAGCAAACACATTGGTGAATTTTTAATTAAATCAATTAATTTTAAAATCTTTTCCTTCCTCTGGAGACAGAGAAAACATTTCCAATGGAACATAACTAGTATTTTAAAGTACTGGCCAGAAATTTCTGAATTTTCTGTTTACTGATGAAATGGTCTTTGTTTCATTACTGCTTCAGATTATAATTTGGGATCTGTAACATGCACTTTAGAAACAAACTGAAATATACAAACTGTTTTTGAACATAAATGAGTCCCACATTATCTTGCTTTCCTGCTCTCTGATTATTCTTATGTGACTTCTGAGGCTCTTTATGCTTATTGGAAACACTGTAGCTTTGAATGCCAACACACACACACACACACACACACACACGCACGCACGCACGCACGCACACACAATACTTGCCAAGACTACACATGTAAATGATTGAGTCTCTAGTACCTTGGACAGGTGCATCATAGTCTTTGCCATCCAAAATTTCTAAAAAGTCCTGTGTACAATCTGTACTGTCTTGAAGATGAAAGTGGCTAAAGGAGAGGGCAATATGATTGACTGTAGAAAAAGAGAGAGAGAGAGAGAGAAGAGGGTTGGTTATTTAATAAAATACTGGCAAGCAGAACAGAGAGATTTTTGCCTCTGGTACTTTCAGAGGAGGGTTTTCCAGCAGGGAAGCAAGGAATTTGGCAGCTTTGCACAGGGCTGGGGTGGGTAAACAGAGCTAAGGGCTCAGCCTCATGCTTAAAGGGCTTCCTTTGAAGAGTAGCAGAATCCATGCTTTTGAAAATGCTTGTAGAATCCCAAATGCCAGTCGTGGTAAATCAGGACACTTGGGTAAGTTCATCTCAGAGCCTTTGGGAAATGTCTTGTCTTGTTGGAAAATATAGCCTTAGGCTTTTGTTTTGTTTTGTTTTCCAGCCATTGTTGTATTCCTCTCCTAAGTATTTTCCTCCACAGATTAGTTTTCTTAGATTCTGATTCCTTACTGAGATTTCTTCTGATTCCTTGTACAAAAACATCCTTCTTCCACAGAACACGCCTCCTAGCACACTCAAGCTTATTTAGGGGTCACAACCAGTGCCCTAGAGCTTCTGAATCATCCATCAAGAAAGCTTTGAATCGTGTAAGGGACAGCAAGTGCCTGGGTACATTTTCCTTTTGTTGTCCTCTCCAGCGTCCCTAATCTTCAGAAAGGGATCTGTTCCTGTTGCTGTCCTTGCAGTGAGAACTTTCATCTGGATGTTTTCACAGCTCATTAGAAAATAACCAGTAGGCACAAAGCTGCTGGGCTCCAGGCAGGGGGTTTCTCTTCCTCCGCTTTGTTGGGGCTCCACCCTCTCCATCCACAAAGACTAAGAATTATATCACTGGCTCCCACATCTCATGCATGGCCACAAAATACTCTCAATTTGTGGAATTTTACTTCACAATAAATAACAATTAAATTAAGTTTAATAATATTTAAGCCCAGCTCTTTTGTATATTATTTTATGCTGAGACCTGCTTAGCCTAAGTGACTGTACTTTTTTTTCACACAGGTCATTAACAAGAGAGCAGAGCAGAAAATTTAATGACTTTCCCATATTGTGTCTGAAATCACAAAGTCTTCTCGGAAACTTTAAAGGAGGGCAGGGTTCAAATGAAATGGGATTCATAATAGGACCAGGATTGCTTTGTTTGGAGCCATTCTGCCATGTCTATAAGGGCCATCTCATTTTTTCTGCCTGTAAAATGTGGACAGACTACTATCATGTCAGGTAATAGAATTCTCAGATTCCATAAAGAAAGGAAAGTAAGCACGTATTGAGTGCTTCTAGGCCTGTTCTGGGATTTAATAAATCTGTACACAGTTGGAGAGACTAGATTTTGCTATTAGTTTCCCCTTTACTGGTCAATAGCTTGTGACATCATATCCTCTGACTGTAAGCTATTTCTCCAAACTATATTCTTCATATTCATGTATTCATTCAGCATGTACCATGCTCAGGAATACACATCAAGAGCTGTTTGTCTATCAATTACTTTTTCATGACCTCAATTTCACATGCCTGCCAGTACAGCAAAGATATACACAAATACTGTTTAACAGTGCTGGGGCCAACCTATGGTTTTGTGCATGATAGGTAGGAAGTATTCTAAGAGACACATCCTCAGTCCTTTCTCCTTGTTCGTTTGCTTGTTTGTTTGTTTTTGAGACAAGACTTTCACTGATCCCAGACTAGCCTCCAACTGGATATGAATAGAAGGTGACCTTGAACTTCTGATTCTCTTACCTCAGTGTATGTTGGAATGACAAGCATGTACCACCACTCTTTTTTTCATTGTTGTTTTGTTTTGTTTATAGAGACAGGGTTTCTCTGTAGGCTTGGAGACTGATACTACCACTCTTGATTCATGTAGTTCTGAGCACCAAACCCGGAGCTTCAGTGCTTATAGGTAGGTATTTAGTCCACTAAGCTATACTTTGAGCTCTCCAGCTCTTGGATTTTTTTAGAAACAAGGTCTCCATATATCACTCAGGCTGACCTTGAACTTACTGTTGAGCTCTGACTGGTCTCCAACTCATAAGTCTTCTGGATTAGCCTCCAGAGTGATAGAATTACCACACCCAGCCTTAAAAATCCCTTTAAATTAATATGAATCAGTTTAAAAATGTTTGCTTACTAGACTAGAAAATGACTGTTTGCATGCATTCCAGGAAGCAGGACTTCCACAAAAGAGGTCAGTCATCAACTGTTAAATGGAAAAGGTAAGCGCTCCACTGACAGCCAGGCCTCCCAAAGGTGTCCCTTGCCCCATACTCCTCTCCCTTTTATTTTTGCTACTTACATGGAGGTTGAGCTTCAATTATCCAGGTACAGTTTTGATTGTTTGGATATTTATCAGGGAACAATGGAGAGGAAATAGTATCAGAAGAGTCGGTGATGATGTGGCCTCCACATTCTGGGAAGCACAAACATATATGTCATACACTTGTGATTTCTACCAACGACACCAAACAATTATTAGATGACTGAAAAATGCTCTTATTTCCAACATGCAGGTCAACAAAGCTCTCTGCTTGGGAAGCTGCACATAAAGCATCAGGTAATTAGAAAATACTTCACAGTTTTAATATTTCTCAATGACAGGAAGTAGGGACATGGTATAGAACAACAGCTTAAGTGGTTGTGAATTGTCTGAATCATTCAACCAATATTTTGGTCTTGATTCACTTTGCTTCCTCATAAGTTACAAGAAGGGTGATTTGTTTATAAATGAGCTTTATTTTCTCTAGAAAACACTCAATTTATAAAGGTGACTGCAAGTTAACCAGAGAAGCTCAGTGCTCTATGGAAACAAGGAGAGGAGAGTGTGTTACATTCTTGAGTGCCCAGTGTCCAGAGAAAGCAAGACTGAACCAGGATCTAGAGGAGGAGAAGAGTACAGGGACTGGGCAGCCCGACATGGAGAAAGGCCATATCTGTAGTCTTGACTGAAGCCTGTGAGGCTTAAACCATATTGCAAGCAACACTGTAAAAGGGTCAGGGCAGGTTTGGGGACTGAATTTAACAGTTGGAGTGGCTTGGCTTTCATCTTCTAAGCCACACAGAGAAAGGACAGATACCAGGAGTCTCTGTGATCTGAGTACATCTCTTACAAGTTATTTGGGAAAAAGATGGAGCATGAGTGGGTAAGTCTGAGGGGGGCTGTTATAAAAGATCACATAGGGATGAAAGCATACTTTTATTCTGAAGCACTTAAGGGCATATTAAGTGTAAAGAAAAATAATGTTAAGTACTCCTTTTTCTTCGAAATCCCTGGGAATGGTAGACGTGCACACTATTGTCTTGCTCTAATGTTTCTGAGAATGCACCTTTGGGAGACAGACTCAGAAACACTCTCCATCTAGGACTGTTTACTAATACGGTACCAGCACATCTACTAGTATGAATGTTAATAGACACATGACAACTAAACCGGCGAACCTTATTTGAGTGAGGCCAGTGAGATGGCTCCACGGGTAAAAGCACTTGCCATCAAGCCTACAGACACGAGTTCAATCCCTGAGATCCACATGGCGAAAGGAGAGAGCTGAGTCTCCCTAAGCTGTCCTCTGACCTCTACATGTACACCATGGCACATACACATAAACACATGTGCAATTTTTTAATTAAAAAGATTTTTGAAGTAAATGATCTGAGTCATCAAGATAAAAAACATGGCCCCTTTCAGACCAATTAATAATCCCTCCTAGTTCTGGGTTCCTTCCATGTCTGCCAATTTGATAAAGATTAATCTCTGACTCTCTCAGCCTACATACGTGGGAGAGGGCCTAGGCCCTGACCCAAATGATGTGACAGACTTTGATGATCCCCCATGGAAGGCCTCACTCTCCCTGGGGAATGGATAGGGAGTGGGATAGGTGTGGGGGTGGGGGCATGGGAGGATGGGAGGGAGAGGGAACTGGGATTGATATATAAAATAAGATTGTTTCTAATTTAAATAAAAAAGGGAATGGCAAAACAAGAGATTATTCTCTGAGAAAAATCTGGTGAAAGGCAATGGGTGAAAAGGCTTGAGAGAGGAAACTGAGAAGTGGTGACCTGAGGACAAAAACAATAGGAAACTATGGGATTCAGCAACGAAGTGAACCACTCTGTGGAGACAGAGTCTAACTGCATTACAAACAAGTCTTACAGTTGTGTATCTCCTTGGATAGGTACTAGGTAAATTAATTTGCCTAATACTTTTTTTATATCACTGGTACTGTACCATTAAACACTATTCTAAAAACACATTGCTTAAGAGATGTACAGTTCCTGAGACATCATCATAATTTAAGGTAGACAAAGATATATAAATGTATGAACAACTACAATACTTGTAAGTCTTCCTATCTGAACATTTGCATATTAAGTTGGAAACTCTGATCAACTCTTAAAATCAGGTATCATTAGAGCACTCCAGGGCTCAGGTGACCCACAGGATACTTGCCTTGTCTGAATTGAGCTCGGAAGCCCCTGCTCTGTCTGGAAGAGCCAGACTGGAATCTCACAAAGAGGCTGTTTCCTGAGGAGGTGATGGAGTTAGGTGGCTTCTGTCTTCCACACACATTGGCGACACGGGTATTTACAGAACTTGAGCCATCATATGTCTACAAAGATGGAAGACAGAAAACTCTCAGTACTGTAAGTTTACATCTGTAAGGCCCATATTCTGTGGACCATCTGCATATCAATGAACCAGTAAAACACTGCATTGGCTGGATCTAGAACAATTGGTTTCATTTCATTTTCTTGTTGTAGAGTTCCAAGTTCATGTCTGAATATTTGGTCATTTCTAGATTTCAATGTGAGGTTTTCTGCTAATATCACTATTACCTTTATAAGTTCTGACCTTCTCAGAGCCCTCATTTTTCTCATGCCCATGAGTACATGCCCATGATGTGTATTGAAAATGCTTGATGCAAATTTGAACACAAAAGCAAAACAGGTGAGAGACAACAACCGTGCATTGTTAGAAATACAACATTCTTGGAACTCTTTGCTCCTCAGAGGCTCATAGATAATGAGCAAGAAAAACGACAGAATTTTTCTAATTATGTGAGTGGGAGTAGCTTGGTTGAGGAAATTACCTCATCCAAAGTCATGTATTGGGTTCTATCTCTGACCAGTACTGTGCTGGAACTCTTTTGACAGATCTTCTGTGCCAGTGGAGTAAAGTTTACATTATATGTGCCCCAAATTTCTGCATCATTCTGTAAAACCAGAGCTTATACATCTGTTTGGTACTCTAAGCTAGCGTGAATTCTTGAACACTTTTATGTATAAACCAGGGGTGAACTGTCTCTTATGTTTGCAAGGTAACACTTGCTACCACAAAGTACATACTCTGTTAGAAACTGGATTCAGCCTTCCTCATTGTGATCCAACAATGTTCTCTACCTATATCTTTATCAACAAATTCATAGACAGTCTTAAGTAATGTATAAGTTACATAATTCCTAAGAAGGAACAAGTCACTTTGAGTCCAAAAACTTGGTTTTAGGGTCTAGATTGAAACTCCTATTTTGTCCAATAAAAGATATCTGTTGAACAGGGTTGATATATTGTTATAATAAGAGTAAGTATCTGAAATAAATTAAACTATGACTAGTTCATTCAAAACTAATTGTCATTTATATTTTGCTAGAAGAATTGGGGGAGATAACAGAAATTCAGGGACCTAAAGTAAGGGAGGTATTCACAAATAACTTGGAAAATTTAGTCATGATTATAATCAGAATTCTGTTAAAGAAGCAGGCTTGAGAGGGTATTCTGAATTGACTTGTGCAAGCACAGGAGTCAGATGGCAATAGGATTTAAATCCTCAGAGAAAGGGAGCAGGGTTTTACAGTAATACATGCAAAGTAAGTCTGGCTCCAGAACAGCACCTCTTTCTCCCTCCCCCTTTCCTCATCTAATGTTCACATTTTAAATTCGAATATTCAGAAAATGAAACTTTAAAAGTGATTTTTATTCAACAAACATTGACAGAAAATTGAATGATGTTCTGTCAATTCAAAATATGATTTTCAGTTCCTATCAGTTTGACCAGTCACTTTTTTCTGCAGAGAGTCTTCAGCCATAGGACATCTGTGTCACACCTTCTCCCCTAAGCTCAGAGTATATTCAGGAAGAGGGTGGCAAATATGACTGTGAAAGTCAGAGGACAGGGAGGACTGCCATAGAGCAGCGTCTTCTGGACATGACTGGGCCTTTGCATCCGTGAACTCACACAGCTGTGGTTGCCTGCACAAGACCTGCACACAATCAAGGGAGTCAATATCCCAACATGGATAAGGGAGGGACTCAAGAGGCTCCACCCCCTAGCTGGGCGGCTACTGGCAGCTGATGACTAATGGAAAAGTATGAATCAGTTTCGTTCAGTAAAATGGACCTCGTTTGTGCTTCAGTGTATAACTCTATACTCATAAATGTATGGTGGCCATATACTCCCTGGTTATTTTCAGGCCAAAAACTAAATAAATAAATAACCTCCAATTCCCCAAATCCAAAAGGTACTCCAAATGTCCATAAATGAGCCCAGCCTGTAATATAGGAGGATTTCTGAGGGTTAGATAAAAGTCAGAATTCTTCAGGAACTTGTGAAGCAGGTTCCTGTCTACCAGAAGGAGCCATTTCCCTTACCTCTGGCAGAAGGGACACATGGCTACCTGTGCTGCCCATCAGCATATCCAAGCTCATGTTGGCCTCCAGACTCAGTATCACAAGTATCTGCTACATATTTCAAAGTGCATGCTAGCATGCTATCCCTTCTTACCCACTACCCTACCCTACCCTAAATCCCCCCAGCCACCCACTCTCCTTAAAACCCTGCTATCCTCAGTATGCGTTCTTTATGCTTTGCCCCTGTGTCTCTCACTACGTTTCCTCTGTCCTCTATTCCCTGTTATTCTCTCCTCTCTCATTGTCTACTGTCCATGTTTAGTATGGTTCTTTTTCTCTATTCTGGATTCTTCTAGATGCCTCTGGCTGTTCTCTTTCTTATGTCTATAAAAAAACCTCCTTTTGCCGGGCGATGGTGGCACACGCCTTTAATCCCAGCACTCGGGAGGGGAGGCAGAGGCAGATGAATCTCTCTGAGTTCCAGGCCAGCTTGGTCTACAGAGTTACAGAGTGAGTTCCAGGACAGCCTCCAAAACAATACAGAGAAACCCTGTCTCGAAAAATCAAACGCAAAACAAAACAAAACAAAACAAAAAACCTTCTTCTTCACCACACCATGGAATAGTCATCCTGACAGTTTATACAGTTATTAAGCAAACGGACAAAGGGCTTGAAATTGGGAGTGGGCTGAGAGGAGGGATCCAGGAAGAGGAAGAAGGAACATAATGGATAATTATGATCAAAATAAATTGTTTCCATGTATGAAAAATTCAGAATAAATAAATATTGATAAATATTGTGTCCCATCTGATATGATTGCTTCTTTTAGACAAACAATAGTCAAAACAACATATAAACCATCACAAATTCAACTCTTAATTTGTTCTATTTCTTTTTTTAAATTTATTTATTATGGAGTGCCTTGACCCTACCAAGAGTAAAATGACAGACTCTAGATATCCCCTATGTGGAAGGATTTGGCAATAGGGTGGGAGGGAGGGGGGGAAGGGGAGTGCGGGAAGAGGGGAGGGAGAGGGAACTGGGATTGACATGTAAAACAAGCTATTTAAAATTAAAATAAAAAATGATAAAAAATTATTTATTATGTGTATGCATGCCAGAAGAGGGTATGGGATCTCATTATAGATGGTTGTGAGCCTCCATGTGGTTGTTGGGAATTGAACTCAGGACTTCTGGAAGACTAGCCAGTGAGTGCTCTTAACCTCTGAGCTATCTCTCCAGCCCCCAACTTGTTCTATTTCTTAAACTCTGGTAAAGTATTAGATTCTATGAAGTATGTACTAACTCCCAAAAGAACAGAAACTTGAACCTTTTCCAAGTCCACACTGAAAAAAAATGTTCTAGTTTCATTTCTGCTGCTGTGATAAAATAACCTGACAATCAATTTAGGGAAGAAAGAGGAGTGTTTCAGTTTACAATTCCAGCTTACAGTCTGTCATTGTGGGGAAGTCATGGCAGGAACCTCAAACAGCTAATCACATCACATTCAAGAAAAGAGCATAGCCCCTTCCTTGCTTGTGCTCAGCTTGACTACTCTTACGCAGCTCAGGGCCTTTTCCCTAGGGAATGATGCCACCCAAAGTGGGCTGGTACCTATATCAGTAAGTTGAACCCCCAGTAAATGTGCCCATAGGCCAACCCAATGTAACAATCCCTCCTTGAGCCTCTCTTCACAAGCCATTCTTGTCCTTGAATTGAGGTTTTGTACTAAGAACATATCAAAGGTGTGTGTGTCTGTCTGTGCATGTGTTATAATTTCATAAGCATAACTACAAATGTTTCAAATTACTCTTGAACAACATGTGATTGCTTTTAAATTAAGTGGAATAAGTATGCTTATTATGAAATTATGCCCTATCCAAAAGAAGTTAGTAACTTATCCAAGATCACATAGCTAGTGAGCATGAGTCTTCACTCATCAAGTTCTACATAACATTGTTTCTTTTTAAAACCACTTGTAATAGCTGACTTATTGTCTGTCATGTGCTGGTTTCAGCAGAATTTGAAGACTGCGGTAGGAGATCATAGATTCAAGCCCACCCTGGATTACAATAGTAAGACACTGGCTAAATAAATAAATAATGCATACTTAATTATCATTTTGTAAAATTTCAAAGCTTCAGACTAGCAATTAGACAGCATTTTAAAAGTGCATATGAAATATCAATCCTACTTGAGAGTGCTTTCAACATTTGCAATGTTAAGACAACATTCTCGCATTTTAAATTTTAATTTGCAAAGCTACAAGGAAAAACTGTAAGAAAGAAAATATGGGAAACTCTGTTTCTGCTTATTTAAAGGTCTATTGTCATGAAACTATCAATATGCATGTTCCCTTATTTCTACTTAGCTCCCAAAGCACAGTTAGCAAATTGTGTCACCGCTGGATATATGCATATTATATTCATATAACCTAAGTAATTCTGAAGTCTGCTGCCAACACTAGACTTGGGAATTGATTTTTTCAACCCAATATTTAAGTAGGTTAATTCCAGAGTAGAATACACACACGGCAACACTCTCAACTTACTCTTTTCTTCTAGGTGACATTAATGAAGTAAGAGTTTTGAAGCTGGATCCACAAAAGAAAAAGCAACCACCATGTTCATGGCCTCCAGCCAGCACAGCTCTCAATAAGCATAGGCAGATATGGCTAAGTGGTAAACATCTCTATGGGAAAGAGGATCCTTTTCAGAGGACTGGGGATGGGGTAAAATTATAAGATTCTAGCATACACATTTACTAAGCCAGAATGTAATTTAAGTATGTAAAAAGAAAGAAAAAGTACAGAACCTGACACATAATAGCTAGTAAATATGAGATGTACAAATCTCAAACGTATGTCAGTTTATAGTTCCTCAGAACAGAGGACTGGGTTGAGAAAAACCTTAAGAAAATGCTGCCTTCTCCTTCATGAAGTGGATTATAAAAAATAAAATAAAAAAAATAAAGCTGACTCAACAGT